CGCACTTTTTACTGTGCTAGAGCAAGTTTTACTCCTTTCACACTCCTCTGTTCTGACCCAAGCTCAGAGTCTGTCTGAAATTGTCTGGAGTACTGAAGCACCACATACCCTTTTCTTAGCTGATGGAAGTGTACAGGCTATAAACAGAGCAGTGAAACCTCTGCTGGCTGGAGTCTTCCTCTGTAGGAACTGTAGGCTTGAGGATTCATCTGACAAAACCCTTCAACTGAATTGGGGGCTGCATTGGTTCAGGCAGGAATTGCTGCCTGTTATAAAAACTGACACTGGTTTTTTAGGACCTTATTTCCAGTCAACAAATAATCATTTAATAGGCATATCATAATTGCTTCTTATAAGCCTTCATGATATTTTCTTTGGGAAATTTGTAAACAGTTGTTTTTTATGTCTCTTTAGCAAATTTCATTATGAAAATACACCACTTTCTGTATGGGCAAGGAGGTAGATGACCTTTCACTGTCAGGCACATGTAAAGAGCTTTGATCATAGCACTTGGATTTAGAGCAACCTCCTCAGTATTCTGCATGGCAGCATTGTTTGTTGGTGAGATGTTCCTATGAATGGGTTTTCTCTGTACTCAGAGTAGTAACTGAATGTTGTTTTTTCTGTTAATATCACTTGAAATGTGTAAAGCTTGCTGCTATGCCTCCTGCAGCAATGGTGACTGCCTGGAGGTAGCTTGTGTCACACTGCTTCTGAGACTTGTAGCAGAACCTTAGATGCTGATGTCAGACTTGCTATTAAGTGTCGTGCCTGGCAGGACCTTAGCATGCCCACAGCATTGCACTGAAGACAGTGTTTGAGCTCTTAATTCAAGCAGATTGTCTTGGATTTTTTGGGTGTTGGGTTGTTTTTTTTTTTCTTCCTCCTCTGTTACAGGGCATCTGATCTTTTGTACGTGTTAATGGAAACAAAGCCTGTTTGGTGAGAGAAGAGTTCAAGTCTGTAACATGCACTTTAGTTACCCAACCTCTTTGCTGTGGTTCATATGTCTGTGCCAGGCTTTCTTAGTAAGTGTTTCTGCAAATTGTATTAAAATCACCAACACCAAGCAGTATTCATTCTTAAGCTCTGGAGAGTATTTCAAGTGTGTGAACTGTGGCATGAGTAGCTATGGGTGAATACTGCCTAGGAGAAGTTTGCTGTACTTATCACCCCTGGAGATGGGACCACATGTGTCTCAAGGAGGTTCTGTTTTCTTAATCATGATTATCCTGAAGGTGAAGTTCATCTCAAGAGTTGTCATTCTAAAGGAAGGGTTGGAAGTGCTTTAGATGACTGACTGTGAAAATGCAGAGCTGTGTTCAGCTGCACATTGCCAGCACACATATGTGTCTCAAGGACATAACTGCTCTGCTTCGATTACTGACAAAGTTTTCCTCTTCAGGGATTATGCAGTAAAGTAAAACTTGACTTTATAAAATGTTTTTGAGACACAGGGAAAATGGCAACAGCGGAAGTGATTGTGCAAAAATTGCATATGAAAGAATGGAGGAAGTATGCTGGAAAACTACTACTGGGTTCTCAGTGCACTTTTTGCTACTTTTCATTTGAGTGTTATTAAAATAACTAAGTAATACTTAAGTAATATGGTAGTAGGTTTAAGTATGTGAATGACACCAACTTTTCCCAAATTATATAGTGATTACTTTGAGAAAAATCTCTGTGCTGGCCTAAAAAGAGTGGGGCCAGACTCTTTCAACTGTACTCATGTGTATCCAAACTCATTTGTTTAACAGGATTTGGTACTGTTTCTCCCGACTTGCCCAGTGGTATAACTTGAAGCTTGACTTACACAAATTAGGTTGCAGGTATAGAGGAGATGTCTCTTCTAATGTTTGCACACCTGTTTAAATGTTAAATTTGTTTGGTTAAGCAAGGTTTGCATAGTTAACAGCTGTTGCTTCAGGAAACACCAGTTTGTTGTTTGGTTTCCTCCATTGCTCCCCTCACCCCTCCCTGCCACAGCCTGTTCTGTGAACTGCAGACCTCGTATTCTTGGATTTGGGTACCAGCCACTTTGAAAACAAGATGGCTCTGATTGGGGCTAGCCTGTGCAGATATTTATCTTTAGTGACCAAAACTCTGGTATGAGTGAGCTGATTGATTTTTTTTTTTTTTTTTTTTTTTTTTTTTTTTTTAGCTATTCACCTGTAGATTTTAATTTTCCTGAGCTTTGATTATTCTGAAGTCATCTACAATGCATCTATCTCTTGGGAGGGAGCACAAAGCTTTTTTATATTATTTTTAAGAATTGTATTTGTCCTTTTAAGTACTGTTCTTCAGAGTCAAATCAATTGAATGCTCCTGCCCAGCTTAGACTATTAGCTTTTGGTAGGAAGTTTTCTTTTTGAATAATATGTACCTGCTTTTTATACATACGCATGGTTACTGTATGGTAACAGTGGAATGTAGCCATCTGTAATTACAGTGGTATATATTTTCTGTAGTCATCTGTTGTGTTACTTAAGCAACAGAAAACATAGAGTGACTTAGGATGTACAAAACTTTAAAAAGAGCCTTATTGTGTTGGCATTAACACAACTGTTAGAGTAAGAATTGTGTTTGGACCAGCTAACTGTGAAGTTGGTAAGTGGTAGAATGTTCTTAATAAATGTTGCAGTTTGGTTGCAGTCAGAAAAATTTTTCCTTTAGTTTAGTCATAGCAATCGGATATCCAGAGGAATACTCTTCTGATATAATGTCTACCAATGCTTGATTTTTTTCATTAGTCCTGCTTGGCCGTTCACTTTTAGGTCTAAACTGTTAACTTGATTAACCCATATTTTTAAGTCACAAGGTAATTCTGAGATGTGTTTAATTATGTCCTGTATTAAAGGAAGGTTATTACACATGAGACAAAAAATACTTACAGTTGGAAGAAATTAAAAAGTACTTCAAGGAAGTAATGTCATTTATATAACTGGACTATGTTACATGCTTTAAGCCTGGATGCATGATTTCACTCAGTTGGCTTAGTTAATAGGATCTGTGTTGAAGTCCATCCATCTGAAATTTCTGTAAAATATCACACTGGGTATTTGATTATACGTATCATACATGATTCTGCTGAGTGGTTGTAGCAATACGAAGTCTGTAGGCTGTAGTGATAGAAATGCTGTCATGTTTCCTTTTATAAGACATCCAGTTAAAGTAATATCTGATTTCCATGAAATACAGTAGGGATTTGTAGGTGCTTGAAGAAAAAACTAAGTGATAGATGCATCTTAACTGTTTGTTTTTTGGTTGATCTGGATTTTTTTTTCACTTGCCCCACCGATTGTGCTTGTATCTCATTACTGCTTGATTTTGGAAGATGCAGCAGTGTCTCATTAGATGTCTTGGAGTTGGGGATGGGAAAGATAAGAGGAAAAGGAAAATGGTTAAAGAAAATAAGTTGACTCAGAGAATGTAGTTCTCTAAGCTCGTACAAACAAAGGTAAGAGAACCCCACTGAACTTAGCTGCTTGTGGATTGTAGTAAGAGTTTTATGCATAGCAATCCATTGTGAAAGGCAGATCCTCTAGCTAAAGCATTTGATTATACTAGTCCTTCATGATTTTTGAATAGTAATGCTGTGGATGTTGGTTGACCTGGAAGGTTTATTGGAGGTAGAGAAAGGACCAGGCATAATGGAAAGGTGCTCTTGGCACTTCTAGGAAGCTTCAGTAAAACAGCAACTGGGAAACAATTTCTCTTTTTTTCTTGAAGAGAGTAACTTAATGATCCTTATTCCTTGGAAACACAAGACTTCTTTAAAAACCAAAACCAAACACAAACAAAAAAACCCAAAAAACCCCAAACCTGAAACCAAGACAACCAAACAAAATAATACCTCAAAACTCCTGTCACTGCTTGTCTGGCCTTTGCAAGGCATATGGAGCTGCAAGTGCTCAGTTGTTAAAACTCCAACTCATGCTGATGCCCAGTAGTTATAGTGGAGAAATGTTCAGTGCTAATTGGATGGGGAAAAGTAGGGTAGAGTTGTGCTTTGTACTCTAAAAATATTTTTTCCTTGTGTAATGGAACACTGTGCTACTGGATAGACTTGGTCACTTGCACAGCTCAGACAGGTTCTGCAGTGTGGTGAGTTTCCTTGCACTGTCTCAAAAAGGTATGTAGATAAATAGGTTGTAAGTAATGTGTTCAGAGAGTGAGGACTTTGCAAGATCAAGAATCTTAATCTCTTTTAGGTTTGTTTTGGTAACTTGGCAGCATGGGTGGCTTACTTTAATTTGAAAATGGAATGGTTAAATCATCATCATGTCGTCTTGGAGACTTTTTTTCTGAAGTTGTATTCATGCCCATTGTGGATTTGATGTGAAGAGTACAAGAAATTACATAGATGACATAGATGATTAAGTATAGTGTAGTATGTTTTTGTTTTAAGGTAGAAGAAATAGTAGTTATGTTTTAGTGTTACATATATATGTTTGTTACAATATTTATATATGTAAAATATAGGGGAAAAAGCCAGAAAAAATTAATCTGAAAAAGTGAGTATTGTTCTGAAGGATTATTTGTAGCTGAGTATAGAGTGGTTCTGAACTAGGAAGTGAGGCATTTTAAAAATGGCACTGTAGAGTTTCTCTCATATTTGACTTTGTCTCCTCCAGCATTTAAATTCCATGTTTTGATGAAGGGTAAGTACCTGATCAAGTGCTTGTAACTGAGATGAATGATTACCTGTTCATGGTGCTGAAGTTTGTATAGATTGTAAATTCTCTGTTAGTTCATCTGATAATAGAGGTACTAGTGATGAAAGTGGAACTGTCAGCCTCTTGGGTCTGTGATAGCTCTTTTGTTTGATACGGCTCTTTATCATAACACAAACAACTTATTTCCTTCGTGTTCTAAATATGCCTTGACTTTATCTTAGAATTACTTTCTGACGCTGGCTTTTTGAAGACTACTTCCAGCTTTTTAGTCATGATCTGTGATATTCTGATGAAGTACTAAGATGAAAATTTTCTAACCTGCAGCACAGCCAAGTACAGTGTGGTGACATTTCTACCTCGATTCCTGTATGAGCAGATAAGAAAAGCTGCAAATGCATTCTTCCTCTTCATTGCCTTATTGCAGGTATTGTTTTATTGCTTTGTCTTGCTTATAAATTTAAATAGTAAGGCAATACAAGTTATTTCAGTTATTATTCTTAACTGCAAATAAATTCTTAAGCATATTTTAATAGTCATATTAATTAGGTATGTGTTAGGTAATTGAAATTGGAAGACAATTTAGATACTCTTTTTGAAGTAGTTTGTAAAGTCAAGCTCCTTTTTTTCTTATGAAGTAAAAATAAGTATTGTCATAAAACATGGAACTATTGACCATAGTGAGAAAAGAATGTGTGAATTCTTGTGAAACTGCTGTTTAGATAGTTCAGGTTATCCCTGCTTCCATGTGAATTGCATCATTTGAATGCTTTTCTTGTGAAGAGAAGAGAAATAGAATAAAAGGCAGGTTACAGCAACTGTATCTTGTAACTTTATGGTATCGTTTCTTCAAACCTACTGAGACCTTAGGCTAGTTTCCCCACTGAAATTGGGGGGCAGTCAGAAACAAATCAGAAAGCTCTGTGTTCTCTCTTCCGAGAGCTTTACAGAAAATTCTAATTTACTGGAAATTAATTTTAAATACAAATATAAAATGGGTATCTCTTTTCCCTCTGTTCACAGCAAATTCCAGATGTCTCTCCAACAGGAAGGTATACCACCTTGGTGCCATTGCTATTTATTTTAACAGTTGCTGGCATCAAAGAAATCATAGAAGACTACGTGAGTATGGCTATGGGGAAGGCTGTGCTAATGTTTCAAAAAAAAAAGCTATAAAATGCCATAAGGCCATGCATCTCTGTAGTCTTGAGTCATCGCTTAACAGCAGCAAAAGATCCTTTTGACTTCCAAAGCTCTGAACTTGACTAGAATTTCTGTAGCCCACTGAGATAAATATTTTCATTACACATGATGAAAAAGAAAACAGTAGAAATCAGGATGCTTGTTTTTACCTCTTCAAATTTGCTTATTCATGCTTTTATTAGAAAGACACTAAGTGTGCAATGCTGGAGTCCTGACAAATATGTAGCCTTTTTAGATGGTCTGGAAAATGCGACCAGGGAGGAAGCAAGCAACCTGAGCACAGAGCATCCTGTTTTGGGGAAAATCTGCACTAACATGCTTGGATACCATTTATCAAAAAAAGGTCTTTCTGCTTGTGAAGTACTGATGAATAAAATTATTTAGGTATCAGTCTAAACAACAGCACGTAGAATGTGTAGTTCAACTGCTATCTAAATACAGTGCTCCTTATTGTTCCTTTTTTCTTCCAAAAAACTGGTTTGAGATATACTTTTTTGCCATTGGAAGTCAGGTTTGAACCTGACTTCCAACGTGGGTACTCTCAGTTTGAAGTTACATTACATTGTTTTATAAGCCACGTAGACTTGGATGATCTGTGTGGCTTAAAAAAAAACCCCACAACAAAAAAAACCAAATCCAAAAGCAAACCAATAACAAAAATATAAAGGCAGAAATTACCCAATGTATCGTCTTGCAGTTTGTCTTGTTTTAGCTCTAATGGTTTTGGAATTTGTAATGAAGTGTCATGAGGTGTAATAAATGTTTTGTTTCCTTGCAGAAAAGGCATAAGGCAGACAGTGCAGTGAATAAAAAGAAAACAATAGGTAAGACTAGACACTCTTTAAATACTTAAAGTGCAAACAGTGAATACTTCTTTTTGAACAATTCTGTTGTTTTAACAGTCCTGATGGTGGGAAATGCATGTCTTGTGGACTTGGTAGTTACCTGTATTTTAGGATATATTAGGATTTTACTTTGCAGAATGTTTTAGGCTGATCATTGTCTGACACTTAAGGGTGAGGCATTGGGGGGATTATTAGAATTTATAAGTTCATGTAATGTCAAGATTGTCCAAAGGTATGTAGTTCTCAGGTCCTCTGAGAAAATCGAGCAATTTTCTTCTCTGCCAGACTCCATCCTTTCCCCCATACCCCCCCAAAAAAAAAGCCAACAACCCCCTGAAACACTACGAGTTGGTGTTAAAAGAATTTTAAGTCATTTTTTTAAGTGCTGCTGTCCATAAAACATAAGAAGTCTGGGAATTTTGTAGCTTTACTTTCCTGAAGTGTCACTGAAATAAATTTTAACACTGATATCTACTGAATGCCTGTGAGTCTCCCTAATGTATTAACACTCGTTGGCACTCTGTACCTGAAGACATCACTTTGATTTTCTTCATCTCCCTTAACCGAAAACCTGTACAGAAAATAGGTAGAGCTTATCAATGACCCCCCTGTGATCGGCCCATGCCATAGGGCAGGTCCATGTTCCCATGTTGGACAGCTTCTCTTCTGTTCCTTTGTGCAGATCTGCAGGGGAAACAGGAACACAGGGATTTGAACTCTGAGTAGAGCCCCTTCCTCCCAAACACATATACCTGAAGTATCAAAAAGATAGAGGAACACATGGGGAAGTGAACAACCTGCTAGCTCTCTGCTTCAGATAGTCCTGCAAACGTTATGCCTGTTACTCGAAGTGAATTTGGTGCTTGAAAATTTGGGTTGATCATTAAGTTTGTATCTTCATCAAAAAGCATTGCTTTACCAGTTCTCCGAGGTAATTTCTCTAAAAGAGTGTCTACGAGATGTTTCAAGTGCTGTATACACTTGAAACTTGTTTCAAACACTGTATTTATTAGTCATTGCAAATTGGCAATTAAGTTCATGTAGCATAACAGGCCTTGTTATAGGTAATAAGAAAGATGGTCCTTTCTAAGGTTAGAGAGCCAGTTGTAATTAATTTGTAGCTAGAGAACACCTGATAACAAACACTTCAAGGAAAGTTTATCACAGTTATTGTGGACAGACAACCTTAAAGAAAACAAAGTATTCTAATGGAGCTAAGCTGAACTAAGCACTTGAAAATTACTTTAGTTCAGGTTTTATTTTTTACATTTGAATACTCAGAATAAATTTTCCATCTGATACTTAAAATTATATCCTTGTACTTCTTAAGAGGAAGGCTAAAGAGCTCATCCTTGAAACGTGTATTATCAGAATGAAAAGCTAATTTAGGTTCAGAGTGGGATTAAGATGAATTAAATTTAGGTTCTCTGTGTGCCTTTAGGTTCCTCTTATAGCCGAGTGATGTCTAATCAATGCATTCAGTACAGAGAGCAGTTGAGCTCACTGAGAAGTAGACACCTGCTCTCTGCTTGGCTGTGTCCTGAGCTCTGCTGCCTGTAAAGGCCAGTTGCTTATTTCAGCAGCATTTATATAGGATTTTAATTTATCTTCATGTTTGGTTTTTTAGAGCAGTGGGGTATCTTCAAAAGGCCTTTGCTGTATTAAATTTACCATGGAAAATATTGGTTTGCTTTGCAGAGTGGCTTTGGTATGTAGGAATTAAATTCACTTCAGAGCAAACTAAACTGAAAGTTCTGCTCTAGGTGAGCACTGTAAGTTTCCATTAGGAGATGGAGCCTGTTAGGCTCTGAGCCAGTGTTTCATATCTTTGGTGGCTTCATGCATTTGTATATGGAGATGATGTTGAATCGAACCAGACTAGTTGTAATCCAGATGAAGCCCCTCAGCAGCACATTGCATAGATGTAGAGGGCTCAGTAATAACCTTTCTGATGTATTGGTCCTCCCATTGTCAAATAACAGAACTAAGTCATGAGCATTTAATGCTATAGGGGTGCACTTAAATAGTAGACACACACAGGGCTAGCAAACTGTGGCACAAGTCTGATGGGAGATGCTTGCCCTTCAGGAGCCGCACTTGAAATGGCCCTATGTGTCTAGGTGTGAGTGACAGCATTAAGTCCTAGATCTGGAACACCAGTACACTGGGTTTTAGTCTTAGAAAGTCTTAGATAGAAGGTTTATATTGAAATTATTTTTGAGTTGGAACAGTCTTTTTAGGTACTTGTCCTTCATTATTTTAACCAGGTACCTTTTGACAATGAATAATTTATCAATTTTATCCTGTAAGTATTCTAGAGCAGACCTGTCCTTTTCTGTCCTTTGGAGTTAAGCACAATAGAAAGTGCAAAATTGCAACCCAAAAATTTCAATGTGAACTTCAACAGCTGGGATTTTCCTTCTGCTGAATTTGGTCATTTGTTTTCAGCAGGGCTTTGAGCCTGCTTGGCGTTTAAGATTCAGCCTTACATGGGCAGTTGGTAATGGTAGTGAAGGTGGATGTGTCAGAGTCAAAATATTATGAATAAAATGCCAGAAATAAGATGAGAAGCGAAAATTCTGTGGTAAGTCATTCACAGATGCTTCCTATACTTCTTGACAGTGGGCAGTAATGCCTCTTGTTTTAAGGAAGGTCACTTCCCACAAGAAACAATGCTGCCCGTCTGCAGGTTAGTGTGAAATGATGCCAAGAAGAAATCAGGCCGCCAACTGTTGTCTAGCAGGGGATAAAAATTATATAAATATGAAGGGTAGATTCTTCCTTGTTCTTGGATTCATGAGCCTACAACTGTAGACAAAAGTATTGTCTCAGCTTCTGAAAAGTACAGTTCTGATCTGTATGTTAGTTCCTGTTCTGGTCAGTGCTTGCTACTGCTGATATAGTTGTTTTGAAATTTGTCTGAATTGTGACCATTTATTCTATAATATAACTTTAAACTTTCTTTCCAGTTCTAAGAAATGGGATGTGGCAGAACATTATGTGGAAAGAGGTAAATAAAACCTGGGGATGGGAGGGAATAAAAGTAGCTGTTGAAGAATTACTCTTGCCAGAATGAATTCGGAGGCTTAGAATTAATGTGCAGGATGTGAGAGTTCTCTGTCTCTTGGCATGGGGCTGGTGGGAGGGATCTGTACTGTTGCAGTAGTCAAAATCGCCCTGAGCAAGTCACCTGAGTACCCATCTTTAAAACCTAATACTATGTTACAGTCAAATGCTAATGAACCATTGTGGTTTTGCTTGTGTAGTTAATATGTAAACTGTAAAGAGTATTTTGTTTGTAGTCAACATCTAGAAGAGTAACTTTCACTGCAATACTGTACCTCCCCTGCAAATCTAAAAGAGTCTTGCTTTGCTGCCTGTGCTAAAAGGTTCCCAGGTTTTGAGACTAATTAGTAAGCTGCTTGTTCAAATAAGGAACACAGGCTCTGCTGCTACTGAGGCACTTGGGACCCATGTTCTGTGAAGCCCTCTGCAAGGATCTGGTCAGCTTTGTCTCTAGGACTTGGAAGTTGCTGAAATGCCTTAGGATATATTGATCTAATTGTGGCTCTTAATGCCTTTTAAAGGAAAAAATTAGCCCTCTTAGCTAATAGTTGAGGAGAACGTGCCCCCTGTTAAAACCTCTGGGAAATGACATCAGTCTCAAGACACTTAAAAGCAATCCTGCTGAAGTGTTAGGCTATAGTAGAAACTAAAGATTACCACGGCTTGTGGTGGCTTGTGTTGGTTCCTGTTCATGCAGTTCCATGTTGTATTTTTGTAGAAAAGATGGTAAATTTATCTTAAAGCTAAGCCTGGAATCTGTTTTTTTTTAAATAGCATTGAGCGCTTCCTGAATCAACCTGTGACTGTATCTGCATGTTGTCCAGGCCTGCATTTATTGTTAGGGAATAACAGTTCTGTGCTAACCCCTTTGGTCACTTTAAGGCAGACTTCTGATTTTTTTTTTTTGTGCTGAAATTGATAGGAAATTTATTTTCAGTGGGATCAGAGTAAAACTAATGAATCTGCTTGTTCAAACATGCCATCTGTTTCAATTTGTAAAAATTAATGTCTTAGAAGTATTTTAAGCCCATTTCAGACTTGCAGCAGTGCATTGGCACCAAACAGCCTGATGCTCATCAAGCAAACCTGTTTTACTGTTTTGAGAGTGCTACTTGATTCTTTTTAGAATGAAAGTCCCATGCATGTGACTAATTAAAGGTGGTGTTAAGTCTTGGGCCTTCAGTATTCTAGAGTTCTGAACTCTGCATATGTCATGTAACTATGTCAGGGAAGAACTGGATTATGTTATATATCTGTAGAGATGATACTACTTGCTAGTGGCTAGTACAAGCAGTGCATCTATGGAGAATTAAAGGAAAATGATAGTGAGGATTGGGTGGGTAAGTAATATAGAGTATGAGTAGAAGAAACTCTTGATACTTGAGGTGAAGTTTAAAGATGGATTTTTTTTCCCCAGTGACGACATTTTCAGTATGTTAAAGAAGACTAAAGAAAAACCCTTAATTTGGATACTGGCAGAATTAAAGAAAAAACTAAGTTTTATTAAATATAAGCCACAGAAGTTAACAATTGCAGTGAAAAGTACTCTGACTTTCAGAAGCACTGTCTCTAGCTGTTCTGTGCATGATGCTGTTCTTCTGACTGGGTGAAAGAAAATAACAAACTAACATTCCAGACAAGCAAACTGTTTGTTTTTCTTTTCCATGCTACTGTACTCCTGACCACAGGTAGCGGTAGGCGATATTGTGAAGGTCACCAATGGGCAACATCTTCCAGCAGACATGATCATTATATCTACCAGGTATCCAGAATGGGTGTGGAAATGATGTGTCTGATGAACTGAGGTGCAGAGGACTTAAGTCTCTGTATTTGTTATTAATAAAACCAGACATCAGATGGCACTAATTCTACTCCACATCTAAAATGAAATTTCAGCAATGTCAAAACACTGCTTTACTAGGCAATTATTCATATATCACTGTAGATAGGCTCTTCAAAAAGAAAGCTTCTTCAAGACTTCACTTTGTGAATTACAGGTACCTAATACTATGTATTGATGAGTTTGTTGGAAGACTGAAGGTCCTTTACGCAAGCTTCATGCAGTCAGTGGCTCTATGGCCTTCTGAGAATCCCTCCACTTAATTAAGGAAGCTTAAGTTTCCTTCCAGTTAATTCCACTGAGTGTTCAGCATATTTTCCTTCCCCCCAGGAATGCTTTCTCTTTAAATTATAAATCTAAAAGGCTAGTGTTGTTGGCATCAAATAACAAAATAGCTTTTTGACTTGTTTACCCCTTGTCTTGGATACAACACACATATGGCCAATCTCTGACATGGTAGCAAATAGTAGCCTGTTGAGTCCTGCTTGGTTTAGTTTGAAGTATGGGACAACTTTTCATTCAGATATGCTGACAAATGAAGCTTGATCTTAGAATATCCTGAATTGGAAGGCATTCACAAGAATCATAGAAATCCAAGTCCTGGGTAGGACACACCAAGAATCACACCATGTGCCTGAGAGCATTGTTCAAATGCTTCTTGAACTCTGGCAGGGCTGGTGCTGTGGCCACTTCCCTGGGAAGCCTGTTCCAGTGTCCAGTCACCCTCTTCAGTGGGTGAAGAATGTTTCTGTAATAGCTAACCTAAATCTTCCCTGACACAGATTCATGCTTTTGCCTTGGGTCCTGTCATTGGTCATCAGGGAGAAGAGATCAGTGCCTGCCCCTCTGCTTCCTCTTGTGGGGAAGTTGTAGATCACAGTGAGGTCTCCCTTCAATCTTTTCCTCTCCAGGCTGAGCAAGCTAAGTGTCCTCAGCTGCTCCTCATACAGCTTCCCCTCAAGGCCCTTCACCATCTTTGCTACCCTCCTTTGAACACTCTCTAATATCTTTATATCTTTTTTATCTTGTGGCGTCCTAAACTGCACGCAGGATTTGAGGTGTGGCTTCACCAGTGCAGAGCAAAGCTGGACAATCACCTCCTTTTTACTGGCTGGTGATGCTTTGCCTGATGCCCCCTCCCCCCCTGGCACAGTTGGCCCTCACAGCTGCCAGGGCACTGCTGACTCATGGTTAACTTGTTATTGGCCAGGACTCCGGGGTCCCTTTCCATGGCACTGCTTGCCAGTGTCTCATTCCCCAGTCTGTACATGCATCCAGGGTTGCTCTGTCCCAGGAGTAGAATCTGGCACTTACCTTAGTTAAACTTCATATGGTTGGTGGTTGCCTAGACCCCTAATTTGTCTAGGTCTCTTAGTTCCTAAAAGCATTTGAGCGGTACTTGGCTTCTGATCTAGATTCTGTATTGTGTAGAACAACTTCAAGCCAAATCAAGACCCCATAGTCTGCTTAGACAGATGAAGTTTAAACATAAGACAATATCACACAATATTGTGATGGTAATAGCAGACAGTAGCACAGTGCCTGTTCTTAAACATGTTTCTAATAGATGAGTCTTATGACACCTTGCTGTTCTCCATAATTTTCTCCTGTCTGTGTGCTTTTCAACAGTGACTGTAGGTTGCTCTAGTCTGTAGGTTACAGTTCTCTTACCTAACCTAACTTTTAAAGGAACTTGTTTTTCAAGCTTCTCTATTTTCTGCTCCATTCTTCTTGTCTATACTGTTTCTGAGAGGTTTCATTTTTTTCAAAGCTATATGTAGAAGCTCAGTCTTCTTAAATTGTCACATGATGAAGGATAGAGACATCTTCATTCCATTGTACACAGTATTGTATTTTTTTAAAACAAACACCCAACTTCAAATAAGCAGTTGTCAACCTTAATATGCAGTGAAGCTAAACTTTGACATCAGTAGTTTTCTATTTCAGCAATGAGGAATATTCTACTTAAGAACTTCTCTAATACGTTACACTAAAAAACCCCTCTGATATATTTCTTGTGTGGGTCAGCTTTTTGTTCTGCATTAGTCTACTGTTCTGTTCTGCTAACCTGCTGTCATTAATAACCACATAATAATTAGAGAATTTAACCCAAGGCATGTTAATTTGGGAGAAGCTTTGCTTGATATAAATAGCAATTTCTATGGCAATGCTGCTTTACAATTGGTATTATTCTCATGATTCCTTTAAATGACAGTACTAAGTGTCCTCAGTTCACCAGAAAGCTCTGCATGCTCTGAAGGATTTGAATCTTATGCTTGTGTGTTGATCTTCTGTGTCTGAGTTGTCAGAGGTGAAACAAACAACTGTTTTTATCTTGACTCTTTTTCACATAGGAAAAAAGGTGACATCAAATGAATTTTATGTAAAGAATAAATTTACATGAAGGAAAAAACCATTTGAATCCAAATGCAACTTTGTATGGAAACAATTCCACATTTCCGTAGAAGTGAGAGGAACTGTATTGCAAAAGGTCTACCTCCTGACCTAAGCACATCAGTTGTAGTAGTTAAGGTGTTTGGCAGAGGTAAAATTAAAATCAAGCTGGACTTCATCAGTGTCTTTCTTGGGTTCAAATTCAGGTTGCCCATATAGGAGGAGACAAAGAACAGACTCTAACTGTACTTTTTTAAAAGAAAAATATGAAGAGAATAATCTAGTTTCTTACTGTGTTACAAATGTACCTATCCATTTCTTAATTATTTTTGTCCTAAGGAGCCTTTATTACTGACTCTTCTGCTGATTGAGTACTTTTGCTGTTAAAGCAGTTTGTTGCTTTGGAAGAAAACTAGTAATGTATCAAGAATATGGGAAGTGATATGCTGAAGAAGCACTTGTTTGAATCCATATGGGAAACTGATATTCCTTAGCAGCCTGAGAAGACAACTGGCAGAAAAATAGTTTTGGTGGTTCCATACAAAATTTTTAAATCTTGAGCGGTATGTCAGGTAAAGAACTGGTAGAAGTTCCCTTCCTTATCAAAGGTGCTACTCATGCAGAGCCCCTTCATGTTAGATGTAGATAAGAGCTTAACTAGTGGAAAATTCAGCTCTTTGAGGAATATTTGTGCTGCTATCACTAAGGGCAGAAACATCTTTGGAAGATGCAGATCATAGCCCTCAATCTTAATCTCAATGAACCTTTTTCTGATGCTCAAAAAAAAGCTGTTTGAGCACTGACTTCAGAATAACCTCCACAAACCCTTCAACTTTAAGGTGACCTTGCAGACGTGGTCTTTTGTGTGTTCAACTCACAGACAGAATTCAATAGCAGAGAGCATTACTCTCTTCATTCCAATATATCCCTTTTATCTTTGATACGTGGTATTTTGTCTATGGTTCTTGCAATCTGAAACAATTTTATGGATTGCAATTCAAAATAATCCACTTCAGGCATCTAAGTTTATTATGACTTGTTAAATTCTTACTAACCCTCTGATTTAGACTTGCCTTTCTCTGTACTTTGGTGTATTACCCCATTCCTATCCAAAGACATCTCTGTTAAATATGTACTTTCAACTGACTCTTTCATGGTTGGATACCACCAATATGGTTTTCTGTCTTCTGCAGTGTATTGGAAAAGTCTCTTGTGAACTGTATTAGTACAAAAGCAGTATACAAAAAGTACTGAGTTTTAATATTGAAAATTTCATGCTCCTTCCAGTGAACCACAAGCCATGTGCTATATTGAAACAGCTAACCTCGATGGGGAGACGAATCTTAAAATACGACAGGTAAAACAAATTGAATTTTATATTTGATTTTTTTCATTTAGGTATTTAATATTAGCTATGAAGCAGCATCTGCCTTAACTGACGACAATACAAGTATGTTTGCTTTTTTTTAAAAAAGGGATCTCTTTTCAGGTGGCTGTAAGCTGCCTTTTCAACAGATACAAACCCAAGCAACAGTGCATCATATACAAGTGTACAGAAACTAATCTGGAGCAAGTATTTTAAGCCCTCAAAGACAAACAGACCTCTGTTATGTTTTGCCAAAGGTCCAGTAAGTGGGATTTAAGTCCTGTACATAAAAAAGAATATCAGCAGTGCTTGTGATGAGAGGTGCGGTTTCTTCTGTCACAAGTGCCATTCTAGGAGCATTATGCAGAGGCAGAAGCTGAGAGGGACCTTTTATATGTTTAAGTTAATTTATCTCTTTGCAGTAAGTAGTGGATCTTTTTGGATCTTTTTAATTTGATTATAATCAACACTGTTCATTATAGTGTTTAGAAATAGTTAAGAATCTTCTTTTTTTCATTAAAAAAATTAGATTTGGATTTTGAAACACAGATTATTTGTTTTTAAAAATCTGTATATTTGCTATCTCTTTCCTGCATTTGTAGAAATGTGATTTACTGTTGCAGTTCTGCCTAAAAAGTCAGGTCTTGAGTTTCTGTAAGATCTTACTTGCTTCAGAACGCATGGTTAAAATACAAAAATATGGCCTTGCTCTGGCTTGCAGTGCTGCAGTCAAATTCTGGCAAAAGAAACATGAAATGGATCCCTCTGTTTGTAGGTGAAAAGCAGTGGAGCACTGTACATGTACTCTGAGATGGAGTACCAATACATTGGATTACACTTGCATGGCTGGTGAATCATTAACCTTGAGCAGGATTGGAGCATAATGGCTGCAGTGACCCAAGAGACTACACTTAGCAATGACTATATTTAGCAGCAATAACACGTTATAACACGAAGCTATACTTCGAGAGAAAAGCCAGGCCTGTTTATACTGCTTCTCTTCTACCTCCTCTTGCTTGTGTGCAACTTTGTGCTTTGTGGATGGAACTTTTTTCTTGGTTAAAGAGATCATGTAGGTAAATATAACTATCTTGTATAGAGAGTTTAAATCGATCTTGTTAGCAGGTTCGTATGTGTCCGTAATAAATCTTGCTTGCACCATTTTCCTAAGTTGCCTTCTAATAACAATTTTTGACAATCTCTTTTGATTTGGTCTTTGCAGGGCTTGTCTCAAACTGCTAGTCTCCAGTCCAGGGAAGAATTGATGAAAGTATCTGGGAGGATAGAATGTGAAGGACCCAACCGTCATCTTTATGACTTCACTGGAAACTTGCGCTTAGATGGCCAAAGGTATTAACTTGACAACAAAGCCAAAGTCACTTGGTTTGGAAAAACGTTTGCTGTGTTCTTTTAGTCTGTAACAGTGAGCACATGCATGTTTTTGCTCTGGAAGAGGAGAGTAATAATTAATAATAGTTAATCAGAGCATCTGCCAGTATAAGATAACATAATCCTGTCTTTGTATGGAGCCTTCTGGTTGTTATGGGAGTCTTGGTTTCTTTGTAATTATGGTGAATTTTTTTAAAAAAAAGGTACATGTAAAGAGAAGGAGTTGGGGAAATGGTAGGGTTTTTTAGGGCTGTCTTGTTACGCAAGATACACAGAGGAAATAGAAACCTGTCCCTTCCAGCTAGAGCCAAAGGCTGTACCGAGGTCAGGTCTATAGAGAAAAATGATCCCAGAATCTGGAGGCTTTATCAGTGTGACTTTTGTTTGTTGCAGCTGTTGAAAGAAAAGTACTTAGTACTTGAATTCACAGATTTTGAAAGGTCGGTAGGAACATACAGGTTTCATTTGGCTGTACCTCTTTTCCTTCACAAAACCTGTATTCTTTGGGCAACTCAGCTGTGTAGTGACAGATGGAAGAATAGCAGATCATCATTTGCATCTGACTTGAAAATCATGTGGGTAATACAGTTTTTCCCAAATGCTTGTATATTGGTGTATGTGATACAGTGTGCTTGGAGTAGATAGTCTCTTTGCAAGTGTGATGCTTCTCTGTCCTTGATGCAAGAAAGAAAGTAGTAGCCAAGGTCAAGTGCAAGACAGGCTTATGCCTGCCACGTAAGTTCTCAAGTTTTGGGTAATTAGAGCAGCTCCCTTGTATCAGCTTTGCCCTACTGTGGTTTAGCAGGAAGTAGAGAGGTTTCAGTGCTTTCTTCAGTTGTGTGGACAATCTAAGGTCATTGTATTACTTTCTCCTCTTTTTTCCCCTCCCCCCCTCCCACTGAGGTGTAAGTCTGAAAGTAGAATTACTGTCCTTAGAGTGTTACCAAGAATTGAAAGATATACTTCTTGCTTTGCAGCCCAGTTCCTGTTGGGCCAGACCAAATCTTGCTGAGGGGTGCACAACTGAGAAACACTCAATGGGTCTTGGGTATTGTTGTGTATACAGGACATGATACAAAACTCATGCAGGTAAAGTTTTTAAGGAGATTTAAATATAAGCTGGTCATCTTTCCTGTATTCTCCTTGTTACTGATTCGATTTTATGAAATGCTTTCACTCATTATAGCTGTTAAAGACCTGGAGGCCTTGAGGAATACAAGGGTACTGTTGTATTTGAGTTTGCACGTGCACGTATGTAAACACTGAAGTATTTGAAAGCAGCTGAATATGTAAGAACTAACTTTCATCTTGATTTATCTGGTAGCTGGATGACATTTAAAACTGAGATTTAACAGCTGAGGACATAGTGAAGTTGATTAGGTTAATACTACTATTACCCTAATGTCAGGGAGTACCTGGAGAGACCAGCAATATGTGTTGCTCCTTGCTGCTGACCAACAGTAGAGGGACAGGAAGTGCTTTAATGACTCTGAAAATAAAGACTGAGTTTGCCTCTGCAATTTTATCTTGTATAAGCCATTGCCAGGCTCTTTTTTCTTTTTCTGCTGCTGTTTAGAATTCAACCAAAGCACCTCTGAAGAGATCAAACGTGGAGAAAGTGACCAACATGCAGATCCTGGTTTTGTTCTGTATTCTCCTGGTAATGGCCCTTGTGAGTTCTGTAGGTGCCTTATTATGGAACAGAACACACGGCGAAGTCGTCTGGTACCTTGGCTCCAACAGTGAGTATCCAGGCATTGAGCCAGGGATGTATCAAACTGTAGGGCCAGCCAGGCTCTTAGCTTCATTAAATGAATGCATAAAATAAGAAATAGAAAAAGAAGAAGGAAAGCCTCTTTGCTAGCTTTTTGATGACCCTTTTTTTTTTTTTTTTTTTTTGAGAATGGACTGGTGTAAGTGAACTCGCCAGTGAGGCTTCTGTTAATAAAACCTTCTAAAGGTTAGGTAAATATCAGTGGGCTCTACCACCCAGGGAACAGGGCAGAAACAGAAGAGGGGGAAGAATTATTACTGGATATCTGGTGTTTCCATTCTTCCATCTCTGTGGAGATACCATACACAAATTGACCATACCCATATTATCATACCCAAATTTATTCTCAGAGGAGGTCACATACTGCTGCCTTACATGTGTCTGACTGCATGATAGACAGTATCAGTCTGATGATGCTGCCTTCAACTCGATGCTTCTATACAGATGCAAAGGATTTTTCTAACTTTTCTCAGTCAGAAATGCTGATCTGCTCTTTTATAGAAAACTTAAATGCTAAATGGTTAGGATTGTTATTTATTGGATAAAGTTTCTGTCTTTGACTCCTGTTATTTTTTTGTGAGAAAACTGATATTTTAGTGTGTTTATTTGAAGGGTTTTGTTTGATTTCGTTCCTAGTCCTTGAACTTATTAGTTCAGTATCAAAGTCAGACATGAAGAATGAAGTACTCTCCAATAGACGTCCATTTTGAGGAGGTTACATTAGCTAGAAAATGTTGTTACGAGCATCTTTAGATGCAGATTTTAAAACAATTATCACAAACTGAAAATGGCTTGTCTGCCAATGATTGCAAAACAGATGGCAAGTGTATATTGTGCAGTTTTAAGAATTGCAGTTGTGTTAGTAATGAAAAAATCCCTTAGGAAGAGCATGGAAATGCCTCATTTTTGACTCTGGGTTTTTGTAGTTGTATTGTCTTCTACTAGTGGTGTCAGCAACTTTCAGAGTTTCTTCCTTGCCCTCCCCTTTGTTTTTTAATGAGTAAGTTTAAATTTGTGCCTTCCAGTGGTGGGAGCAATACTGGAAAAGGTGAATTAAATGAACTCTTGAACTTATAATATAAAACCTGTTCAACTTGAAATAAACTAGGATGACATAATAGTCTGTATAGACACCTTTTTGTAAATTGAATGCACAATTTCTATTACTTCTATAACTGCCACACACAGGAAAGACACTTTTTGAGGTTATGCAGGTAGATTAATTTTTTGTTAAATGTCTAATCTGTAAAAATTGTATTGGAAAATGTTTCAATACCAAACAAGTTTTGACTTACTGTAAACTTACCAAAGATATGGAATTAGGGTGTACTCACACTTGGAGGTGCCTGTGTCCAGACTGATCTTCACTAGGCTTCAGCAATTTTCTCTGGGTTCTGTCTCCTCCTTGTTGTCTCCCCTGACCTTTAATTAACTTGTAATACTGAAAACCCTGAGTTATGAGCTCTGACCCCATTGTGCTGGATGTTCTGTGTGCTGACTATAGTGCCTCCCTAAGCTTCTGGGAAAGTGAAGAGCATACAAATGTGGAGACTTTGGTTGTAAAGAGAGGCTCTGGGCAGCACCATGAACAGGACCTTTCATCCTGTGTCTCTGCTGAGCCTTGTGCATTCCTGCTGGCTGTAAATGGTTTCCTTTCCCTTTTAGGACCAGTTGTGATGGCAAACTTACTCAGGCAACCTGCCCAAAGTTGTCACCATTAATAACAGCTTCTTTGCTTAAGCAGGATGCCTTAGTTCATTTACTAGATGTCTGTTCAGCAATCGGTTGTTCTGTTAGATTTCTTTAGTGTGGGTAACTTCTCAATTCTGACAATGATGTCAGACTTTAGAATTAATTTTAGTGTTTATTTTTTGTTTCCTAACGCCACTGAGACAAGTAGGCACTTTCTGAAAGATAGTTATATTACTAGTGATATTGGTGGCTCTTAATTGGGCAGTTGACACATCAGATAAATGTCTAAATTTGGGTTATGGTGGGAAATATTGTACTTCTCGCCATCTGTTTAGCAAAAGTTTTTCAGAAAGCGTTCTGTTCTTTAATATATAGACTCACAAATCTTGCCCTTCTTCACCTGGCATAATATGCTGTGTATTCAGGCATGTGTTCTGTGGGTGTTTTATATATATACTATTAAAATCAATATTAAAAAGGCCCTTATAGTAGATGTCAACACACTTGCTGATTATTTTAGCACTGCTAAATCTGACTAGACCAACTGCATAAAGATGATTGCCCCTATACTGTCCCTATACCACTCAGACTTGTGTCTGCTCATATCCTTTGTCTTTCGGTCCACAGAAATGCTGTCTGTCAACTTTGGATACAATCTGCTGACATTTATAATCTTGTACAACAACCTTATTCCAATCAGCCTTCTGGTGACATTGGAAGTTGTCAAGTTTACTCAGGCTCTTTTTATAAATTGGGTAAGTAACAAGAATGAATATATCTCAGTTCTGGATGTTGACATTTAAAAAAAAATAACACAACATCTTTGAGACTTTTAATTAATTTTCTGATGCAACTTCTGGGAAAGGCAGGGGAAAACTCAAAGGATTTATTCTGTATCAGTTCTGTGTTTCACAGGAATTAAACGATTTAATCATAGGAATATCCCCTGTGCAAATGATGACTTGTATTGTAGGCCTTTAGGATGAGAAAGAAGTGTCAGGTCTTGTTGAAGGAGGTCTCTCTGCTGACTCATGTTCAGTAGTTATCTTTTGAAAACTCTTCAGTACCTTATATCTCCTCTCAGCCACAGCAGAGGGAAAGACTAGACTTGTTTGAAGGTGTGGTATTGCTTTTTGGTTTTTTTGGTGGTTGTTGTGGTTTGTTTTTTTTTTAAATTCTCCGGTATGGATTGTATTTTTGTAGGGAGAGAAGTTGGTGGTGCCTTATGCAACCAAACAGTGATCTTGCTCTGTTCAGGCAAGCTTTGACTTCAGAAATGTCTTTCTCTAGTGATGTCTCTTAAGCTGAACAAAACCAAGAGGAATACCTTGTGCTGGTATGCGTTAATCCTTCGACTTTCAGTAATATAGTAGGTTCCTAAAAATACAAGTAAATGAGGTCTAATATGTCTGTTCCCTGAGCTGCTTATGATGTAGGAGAGACGCTTTTCTGAAAAGTTGCTTTGGTTTGTGTAGCAGCTGGGTTTTTTTACTCACAATAAAATGTAGTAACAGAAGGAATTAATTTCATGAAGCCATTCAAATTGTCTTTTCAGGTATAAATGTGGCTAAAGCAACTAATTGTTGTAATTGAAGACATGTGATTAGCATGGCTAATACCTGTTAAAACTTCCTACTGTACCGTGATATTTTTTTTCCATTGCATCTCTAGTTTGTTAACTATCTTTAGTTAAATCTGGCTTTTCTCATGTACATGTAGTATGGAGGTATGCTTTGGAAAGGAGGCACCCATATTCATCCTGGGATGATGTTCGTGTCAAGCCTTCAGAACCTCCACTAATGGCATTAGACAGTCAAAACAAATTGGAACTGACTAAAAGAACAATGAGTATTTCAGTGTTTAATTTTAATAATATAGGTCTAATTTTGCTCTCATTTCAGGACATAGATATGTATTACCCTGAGACAGATACGCCTGCAATGGCCAGAACCTCAAACCTTAATGAGGAACTTGGGCAGGTAAGACAAAATTTTCTTCAGTGTCATGTTTGTGATTTATTCTGGCAAGATGGAAGGTATGAGAGCAAGCTGTACAAGTCTGCTTTACTCTGTTGCTCCATGGCTCAGGTTAATGGGACATGTTTGTCATTAGTCTGAGTCTTACAAGTAAAATGATGAGATATTGTAGGATTAAATTTAATATAGGCAGTTTTATGCTTGGGAACTGAAACTGTTTCATATGTTCACTCTAAACTGACTTTTTTTCCCTCGAAGGTGTTGAGGAGATGATCTGCCTTTGTGACTGTCTACACCAGAACAGAATGTATAGGACTAAGCTTGGCTTAAGAGGAGGCCAACAGCCTCAGCCTGTGTTCTTAGTTCTTGATGTTTCTGTTTGCTTCCCAGGAGATGGAGGTTAAAACAATACAGTTCTATTCATAATTTATACTGTGCTCCTTCAAGAATCTAGTTTTTCAACAACTTGTAGTTGTTGTAGATTTGTTTATTCTGCAAATGACATTTCTTCAAAATAGAAGGGCTTCCCAAAACAAGCGTACTGGAAAATACAATGTTGCTATTGGAGTTTTGTAGTACCATTGAGAAATCCTAGCTTTTTTCCGTGACCATCAGTCATAGATCTTTAACTGAACCTCATGAACTTAGTAATTGTGTGATTTGGTATTGAAGACAATGTTTATACATTTAATGTACATAATTTTTTTGTGCTGCTCAGCAGAGTGGGAGTCAATGTTCTTCCTGTTTAAGCTGATTGGTCTTTTTCTTTGGAATGCTAAAATTTGATTTGTATTCAGATTACTTTGATGTGAACTTAACCTCTAAATTATGGCACTATTTTTGTCTGAAGTGAAGATATGTGGCATAATGTATATTCTTGGCCCATATGTTATTTTCAGAAATTACTTACTAGTGATTCTGTGTAACTAGACTGAGTTTTTTGATTCATTAATTGAATTACCTGTTCACAGATGCCTTTAAAATTTTTGTTTTGTGTAGAATTACTAGTGGCTTGAAGTTCCTCAGATGTTTGGGTACCCACTTTGACTTCTAACTCACATAAACTCCATTTCCAATGCTGTATTCAAGCAGCAGTGTGGAGCACAGCTAAAGGATCACCTAATTAGTAGTGTAGTGCACTGTCTTGAACTGAATTGCATTTATTTGAGGAAAAGCTTGTTCCGGCTCCAGGCAAAATATTTTGGTCTTTAAATTGCGTAACTCCTATGCTAGCACAAGTGTTGCTGGTTGAAAATCATACGTGGTACAGAGATACAACGGTGGTATTTAACTTGCAATTATTTTTGGTCTGTTGTAACCCACTGCAGGTGGGAACCTTGAATCTGCTCATGCTCCAAGATGTCATGTTGCTGTGTTGGGGTGGCCTCCAAGTTCTACCTGAAAGTCACTAGTTCCATTAAGGGGTTATTAGTTTGGGCAGTGCTGACTGTCGCTTTGTGTCTTGCACTTGAGGACTGTTTATGACTGGATACCAGAAAAAGCAGCTTTTGTTTGACTACAGGATACCAGTTGAACATACCCTAGCATATTTCTTGCACTTTACTGCTTATGGGGGTAAAAGCACCCCAAACGTGTTCTCAGTGATCTTTGGAACATGGCATTTCTTTGTATTGACCTTTCAACAGTCTTAATAGTCTTTGTTTTAATTTCCAGTCTTGCTCTTTGACTTCAGTACAGCTGACAGATTTGTTGAATGTCCAGCTGGCACAACACATCTGTATTGACCACTCTGGAGCCTTGGCAATTGATACCTACTATTTGAGCTTTTCTACATTTAGAAATCAAGAAGAATTAATGCCATTAAACAACTTGTCTGATTATTTTTCTGTAGATCTGGTAGACAAACCTACCTGTAATAAGCCTGCATTGGCCAATATTGTGACATTGAGTAATGTATTTCTTAATCTGTTCTCCACTTTAAGTTTTGTAACTTTACAAGTTGAAAACTAGACTTTTTTTTTTCTTCCAGGTGAAATATCTGTTTTCTGATAAAACAGGCACTCTAACATGCAATATCATGAACTTTAAGAAATGTAGTATTGCTGGAGTGACATACGGGTAGGTATGACACTTTTAGAAACTCTCTAGCTTAATGTGTGCTTACTACTGGTACAGAATTTTATAGTGGAAAAGGATTAGAACATTCTGTTCTTCAGTTTGTGTTTTAGTGTATTTTGTGGTCTTAATTAATAGTTTTCATTTTCATGTCCTGCAGCACAAATTATGAAAGTCAAACCTGTGGAGTACTTTACATGAAGTAAAGGCAACTTACTTCCTAACTTACCTGATCATAATTTAAACAAAAGCAGAAGTGCTAAATAACCTCTGGCCTTTCAAGAGGGAAGAAGCTGCAGCCCAAGGGTAGCAGTTATTAGTCATGTTTCTGTGACTTGTTCGGATGAATCAGGATTTTGTTAGAATCGTGTAGCTCTAATTGTAGAGTTTAATATTCCTTGTATAGGTATACCTACTTCACGGTTTTGTTCTACTTCTGTCTAAAGGATCCCTTTGAGTCATGCCAGTACTCCTTAGCACTTGGCCTTTCGAGTCTTGAATACTAAGTCTTTGTATTTGCTTAGTTTTAAATGGGTAGTCTTAAGTTTTCTGTGCAAGTTAACCTTTGAAATTCATGCTAACTAAATTAGATATCTCAAGAGGCAGAAAACTTGATTCAGATGTATGAACAGCTGAACCTATGGTTCCAGCATATGTTTTTGTGTAATGACTCATTGATCTTCTTTTTTTTTTTTTTTTGGTTACCAAAGTGGAATAAATGTTCTTTTCTTTTTCTACTCCTCAGTCACTTTCCTGAGCTGGAAAGAGAACGCTCATCAGAAGACTTCAGGTAAATATATTCCAGGATGTTTGTGCTCTGTATAGCAAAGTGGGTACAATCTATATAAAGACTTTCCAATTTGGGGCTGGAAGAAGCCCAAGGGAGCAATGTGTTTGAGTAAAATGGTCTTTCAGTGGGAGCCTAATGCAGAGCTGGTGGGTGGTGATGGATCTTCTCTGCATAAAGAGATGGTATGTGAAGGGGGTGAGGAATAGGCAGCGGCTGGGGTGGCTTTGATGCTAATGCAGTGCTTATTTATAAATGTAGACAGTCAGGTTAAAAGTAAACTGCTTTACACTAACCTTACCCCCTAGCTAGAGACCAGATGTTCCTCTTTTTAATCACTAAGTTCAGACATGACAAGGGGAAGAAAAGGGACTTTTTTGTTAAAATCCTATGTTTTAGTAATTAAACTGGGAGAGAGCTTAATATATATAGGTGTATCATGTCAAAAGAATCCTACTCCTTTTTATTCAGGACTTTAATGAGTAGAGGTAATGGATCTGTCCCATTCTGTAGGAACGAGTGAAAACCTGGGGGTGTAACAGAGGTGTTAGTGTAGCACATTTTGATTATCAGGAAAAGGGGGAAGAGCCAGGGAGGACTGACATGGAGTTGAATGGCAAATATAGGCAAGAAGTGAGTTCCCACCCAAGAAACAGGTAAACACTGAATGCTGTTAGAAGAGCACTTGCTTATGAGCTAAGCTGGGCTTCTCCACTGACACAAATCGTTTTTGTTATCATCTTTTAGGAAGGTGATACCATGATAGGTTGCTACATCTGCTGAGATGTAATTTCTATTGGTGCCTCTTTTCTTCCAATATATTGCCGTTTCTTTTCTTTCCCTGTACATTTTTTTTTCTAGTCAGTTCTGTGGAAGTTTCTTTCAGGTACTTATATGGACTACTCAGACTTAAAATCCTCCAGAGTCAACTTGTGAAGCAGAACTCTGACTAGGGAGGGAGCTTAGGTATATTGAACTTTTGATCTGTTTTATAAGCAAATTGCCTTGAAATCCATTTATTTCAAGTGTGCTTAAAACTGTTTTTGCAACATCTGTCCCAGGAGGTGCATTGACACTTGAATCTTCTCAAATACACTGTCAACGATAACCGTTTCTTGCTGCTGCTCATTTTTAGCACTTTCTGCATTACTTACATGATCTTTTCACAATACTTTCAAGGGCACTGGAGTCTTATTTTGTTTTTTAAACTTGCTTCCTGAGAAAATAGTTGAAGTATTAAGATTGGCAATGTTGCCACTTGTTTGAATATACTTGTTTTGCTCTGCAGCCAACTACCTCCTTCCACGAGTGAATCATGTGAATTTGATGACCCAAGGCTGCTGCAAAACATTGAAAATGATCATGTAAGTCTACTCTTTGAATATCGTGCCTCTTAAATGCCCTATTCTAGGCCTGTCTGGAATTGAATGCGGAACAAATCTATTTGTGTGATGAAGTCTGCTCCATGAGTGTGTCATGCAAGCACAGAGGGGATAAAAAGGAATCAAAATAGCTCCCTCCAACGTCTTTCTACCCACTTGTCTTACTATTGAATTAAAGAAGCAGTGGCATCGATATGGATACCAGCTACCTATAGAACAGCTTCACATATGCTGTTGTATATGGAAGATAATGTTTTTGTAGCAAGTAATGATAGAAATTATAATTGTTTAAAAGAAAAACTACTGACTGTTCAAACATCTGTCCTGTTAAAATATTGTTTTTAACAGTAACCTCTAGGATTAGAAGGTGGTTCTGGTACGAGCCTTGCTTTAAGTATTGCAAACGTTTGGAATTTCAGTTATGTAGAGGATGTAAGGGATGAGACTTAATTGCAAATCTAAGCTTAGCTTGAGGCTTAGTGATTAGTAATTTTAACCTAAGTGGCTGAGTCCTAAAGGGTTCTAGTCTTTAGGGTGTCAGTTGATTGTTTATTCAGAAGTCATGTGGCTATGAGGTGTCTGACTGGACACCAGACAATTCAAACACTTGCAAAAAGCATGACCCTTGTTCTCTGCAGGCTGTCTCTCAGTATGGGATCTGAGCGCTGGCAAGCACAAACTCCACCAGCTGATTGTTCTTTTTAGACAATATAACTTCTGTGACTGGGCTAGTTAACTTTAGTTATGAGCATTTCAAATGTAGTTACAACATACTGTTTGTCTGCAGGAAAGCTTTGTTTTCTACTGTACAGTACTTAAGAACTTGAAATGCAGCATGGTGTAAATACCTAAATGAATTCTTAATTACTTGATGTGGCACTACGTATTCCTCGTGGTGATGGAGCTAAAGATGGCTCCTGTGCTCTAACGTACATCAAGGTGACCCTCCAAGTACAGTGCACTGGTTTCCTATGTGGCTTTTGTAATCATGTTCACTGGAAGGGTTTTCCATTGGACATCACTTGCAGCTAAGACTTGGATATCATCCTGTTCCTTTTTGTCCTGTTTGTTCATTTATGGCTACAGTTATGGCTTGTGGCAGTTGCTGACTCCAGGTATTCGTTCAGGTTTAGGAGTAGGCTGCAGATAAAGCTTGCTTGCACTCTTGCTGGCTGCTGTATAGATAAGTGCTCTGGTATATTTTAATAGACTCAGCAGAAGGGACATAGATGAATTGAGTTGTGAGATGAAATTTCTCATCTAACCTAGAGATGGCCCCTTATTTTTGGGCTATTTAATTATCTGATCTTCTCTGTGTAGAGTTTGTACTTTGGGAGATAGAAGAAATATTTGCTGTTGTAGCAGGCAGATAAAGAATTTTGGTAGCTTCCTTAGGTGTCACTTAGTCTAGACAGCTCAGAAGTCTTTGTTCTTTACATGCTGAGCCTTATGTATCAAGCTTCCTTTTGGGTGGGAACTTAAATGGATAAATACTGTTGTCATTGCACAGCTGACTGTTGGGCTGAACACACAGACACTGGGGAAACTTCTGGGTAGTAAGACTGAAAATGTGCCTTGTGTAGGCCAAAGATGTCCTTCAGAGCCTGACTGTACTGGAGGAATGGATGGTGATTTAGCACAAGATGTGGGAATGCAAGGGCTACATCTGACAGTTTGCTTGGCACATTCAGGTGTATTTGTCAGACTGTGTCAGTGAGATTAGGGCTGAATTCCATGATAGTGGTAGAGGGAAGGGTCTTTGTAGCTTTTTTGCATTTGGTCAGCTGCTAATGTGCATAAGCTGCTTCTTTCTGTCAAACTGCATAATGTCTTATTTTTCATAGCTAATAGATAGCTGCAGATGCCATTTGCAGATGTCTGACAATTTCTACTCATTTAGTGAACTGAGGTGATAAAACTGAAGTGTTCTAGCACAAGCTGCCTAGTGGGGCTAGGTGGTACTGTACTTAGTTGGGCAATTAATTCCCTTTAAACATTTGACCTTTCACAACTGAAGCTTTAGGTGTGATATCTACAAACTCTTAAGTGCTCATTGCTTTGGTCTTGAAGATTTTAGGTTTTTTTTCAGTCCAGTCACAAGTGTTAGTTTAGAGCTGTCTCAGTGCCAAGTAGTTTTCTTTCCAGGTTGAAAATAAAAAATTATGTACTTATACTCCCGAGACTGTCTTCCATCTGCTAGGAAGATTTTTAGCATCCTGTGTCACCTCTAGATTTCATAGCTCTTCTGGGCCACTGGTGTGTTAGGGCTGACTGATAGCCAAGTTCACTCTTGAATAGCAGTTCAAGAATTATTGCCCCATAGGAAATGTTCCAAGGAAAAATAACTTGTCTTGAAAACATATGGAAGTTTCTCTTGCCTGCTCTGGGATTTTAATGTGGAAGAAAGTACCTAGGTTTGTCTGCCTGTGCTTTTTCTTTGGAACTGGTTCTTTTGGATGAACTCTGAATGATGCTGTCTTCTCTGTATAGAGAAAATGGCATAAACTCTTAGTTTAGTAAGAAAAGATCAGTTGTTTTCTAAGATGAAAATGAATGTTTGGTGAATACACTAGGTAGTCTTTATCTTGGTGCTTGCTAGTTGCATATGTGCTATGGAGATGCAAACCTCTTTGCTGTGGGGTTGGTTATGTTTTACCTGATGATAGGAGAGCAGGGAAGGAGGTCAAGAAGTGAAGGAACTATAGACTTGGATCTCATCTTGGACTCCTGCATCTCCCCGAATTCTCTCTGAACTTCATCTATGAATTCCAATTTGCACAAGAACTTTGTTCAATGGCCCCCAAATTCTCTCTTGGCCAAGAAGCAGGAAAGTATAGCTGCAAATGCATAAATTGATTCAGTGAGTATGTGTTAGGAGTAGTTTAGCAGCTGACTTGGCAGAACAGACAACTGTTGTGTTCATGTTGAACCTTTACTACACTGAAAGTGTTTGTTTAGACCTTGCTAATATGTCTACTTATTTTTGTGAAGTGTGTGGAAACTGAGGCTGTTATCTGATCAGGCTTTTCTGAAATGACAGCTATCATCAGCTGATTCTTAATACCTTAGGAAAGCAGAACCAGAAAAGTATATCACTACTAACTGGGATGAAAAACTGGAATTTGGAATACAGTAATGCCAAAAGTATGTTTAGGTAGTGAGATCTGGGAGGCTTTAGTTTGGAAAGTAACTGTTGCTGGAAAACTGTGCAAACTTGTAATTTTATAGCTCACAACTAAATTATTAGAGCTTAGAGAGAAATATTTTTCATTTGTCTGCTTTTGTTCTTACTATGTGTGGGACTTTGCTACTGTTGTTCAAGTATAAGACAGCATCTTTTAATTATAGGTCATATTTCATTGTTTTTGGACAAGATGAACTTGCATTTAATTCTCTTGATATTCAAACACTGGTTAATGTTCTCTTTGAGTCTGTGCCTGAAATATCCTGGTCCTCTTTGGTTTTACCGGCTTCTTTGTTCCATGTGCCCAACACGGCTGGATCCTCACACTGCTCTCCAGATATTTTAGTGAACTAAACAGTAGGAAGTTAACATCTTTTTAAGATGGTGAGTCATAATTCTCCTTGGTAATCAAGTACATAAGTATTTTTGTAGTTGTCCTTGGCAGAATTTGCCACTTCCTTCTTTGAAGGAGTAAGCTCAAGTTGTTAGACTGTGCTTTAATATCCCATTGGCCATTTCTAGACCATTTGCTCAAAAAAATGTCAGTCCTGCTCATCTGGAGATATTATGAATGGAGGCACTGATCTCATACTGCTACAAGTAAAAAGAGAGGTGAAAAATCTTTAACTTCACATGCAACTTCCTTGTAATTTTATCAGCCGGCTAGAGAAAAGTAGTTTGTCTTCAGAGTGACCAGGCCAAGATAAGGACTTCTGTGATATATGTGCAGTTATGTAGCTCTGCAGAGTACAGTTTGCTCCCTGAAAAATGAAGGTTTGGCTCAATGTTTTGTTCCTCTGAATAAGGGAGCAAGGAAGGGATAAAAAGTTGTGATGCAGCTTCATGACCAGTTGTCTGTGCCTTGCTTGATAATGGATATTGCTGTGCCTTCTAGATAGCTAAACTTTGCTTTCATGGTGGATAATGCTTTATAGATAACAATCCAGAAACTGCTTTCAGAAATAGGGGATTGTTTCAATATGTATGTGGTTCTTAGCTTGTAGGGGCAGTAGGCAAAATAATTTAGCCGCTGGGGTGTATCCCTGGTATAGGTGCTTGTACACGAATTTTTTCATGGACCTTTGGAAAAAAAAGAAACAAACCAAAACCAGAGAAAGAAGCAATGGCTTTTACCCAGAGCTGTTGCCACATAAGGAGAAAAATGAGGGGGAAAAGGCGTTTAAAATGAGAACTACCGATTGTCTGATGAAAAAGAGACTAAAATATGCCAACTTTGTTCCAGCTACAGATAAACAGAGGTGGAAAAAATGGGGTGGAAAGAAATAAGGTTGACCTTAACAAATGAGCAGGCAAGAAATGTCTCTGAGACCATCAGTAAGAATTTGACTACTAAAATATCAGAGACTTAATAGAGGAAAATAAATAATAAGGTAGAATCAGTTAATCTGTGGGACTTCTGTCCTGTGCTGGGGTTAAACTTGGTATGTTGGAAGGGATGTGTTGCCACAGAACCCATTAATGAATCTTCTGTTCACAGATCTGAAAATTTGAACGCTCTACCCTGATTCATGCCTGTGCAACAAATATTGTTAGTATTGGAACAATATAGAAAGGAAACAAGTGACAACTGTGTGGAGGAGCTGTTGTGATAAGCTGGGACTCTGGTGATCTGTTGCAATAGAATTGGAAGGTTGCCCTGTAATACATTGTGAGCTGTGAAAGTATCAACGCAGCAGCAAATTATGTTGCTAACTTGAAAACATAAATATGTACATAGGAAGAATTAAAATCCATGTCATTACTGGAGACGGGTTGTTTCCAGCTGATAGAACGCATACTGTGAAAGCATGTTAAGGGGCTGGGTGATAAAAGTGTAAGAAGCACATCGAAGGTCTGCAGCAATAGATACTGAAATGAGAATTTGGCAGGCTCTGAATTTTGAGATGGAGATAAAACTTTCCATTATTTCCAGTGAAAGCAAATAGAAGCAGTAACCTCCTGATTGTAATTTGCTGTGGACTTAACATTTTACACATTACTCTCTGATTATATTCCACATGTTCATTTTCTTGAACATAGCCTCTGCACCCTCAGCATGTCACAAGTTACAACTGTTGTTATTTTAGTGGCATGTTACCGTACAATTTGGAGGTTTCAATATGCAAAGATAAAGGTCCTGTGTGAAACAGTTACTTTGAAAATCTTCATGACAAAGTAGGTGAAGTAAAACAAGGTCTACGATATTCAGTTTTTTTATTCCACTCTTTTCTAATACTCTTACTTTTTTACACATGTTGACATAGTGTATGCCAGCTGACATGGTTTTGTGGCTTTTATAGTAATTTACTTCCTACTCATTAAACCTTGATATTGCCAATAAAAACTTTATAAACTCTCACAGAATTTTTGCACATAAAAATATCATCTAGCTTCCAAAGTCAAGTAAGGCTTTCTGCAAAGGTAAAACTACTAAGTTCGTGTCTGACTCAGTCACTGAGCAAATGGCTGCTGTGACAGAAGACACTGATGATCCACAGAAGATCCAAGTGTGGATGTTATGGTTACAGCAGAGTTGGGGAAGGGGAACCATGTGTTCACTTCAGCTGAAATGAATTAGTTGTGTCTGGTTTTGAGCTGGGCAGCTGAGTACCATTTCTGACTGCTGAGACTATAAATACTGTGTCAGAGGCAGGAATGGAGAAGAGGGAAGAGAGGGGTGGGGGACTCAATTTCAAATCACTATAACTGCAGTTGCCAGAGTTGGCTATCACAGGCCTGTGGTTGAAGTGCTGTAGCATCTTTGCTGAGTTGCAGACCTGGTGTCTATCTAAGCACTTGGGGCTGACTGTGAACAGTGTTTTATATTCTATGTTCTCATGATGCTAAATGTGTAGGGACCATTGATTAATTTTATGCTTGGCTGGATGCTGTATTTCTGTGGAAGGGCACATGATGTTGCCTTCTACTGGCTATTCAACTGCTGTCAGCTCTGGATGTTCATTGCTAATGGAGCAATTGCATCAAGTTTAATTCTGATGTGGTTACTGTCACTCTTTTAGAAGCTGCCATAGTAATATTTCCTGTTGCTAGATTGTCATCAGCTTGTGGCAGATGTCTTCACCTATATGAAGCTTGGGGTGCTACAGAACTAATGCTTGTATATTCGGGGAGGTGGGGGAATATTCTGGCTTCGCAGCTCTCTTCAGCTTAAGTGAGGTCTTTATCATTAACACTCTTAATTCATCAATGCTGACCCTAAACTCTGCTGTCTTGATCTGCTGTAAGTAGAGAACAGAATGTTTTTTGTTTGTTTTTTTTTTTGGTCTGTGATACCTCTGTGGTCTTCTCAGTTTAGTGAATAGATGCTTCAGTCTGTGTGTAATGCTAAACCTCACTTTTCTGGTGTCTTGTCTAGCCCACAGCTGTACACATACAGGAGTTCCTCACGCTGCTAGCCGTGTGTCATACTGTTGTTCCTGAGAGACAAGGAAATACAATCATCTACCAGGCCTCCTCTCCAGGTTAATTGTTGCTTTCTTTTTTGGGAGGGAAGGAGTTGAAGGAGTAGAAGGTAGATGGAAGGGAGGTCCATAAATTTCTGTGAAGATCATTGATTTTGAAGGAATGATGTCCCCCATGATGGTAGCAGTAGGTCTGGCATCTCCTGTCATCAGTACACGCTGCTTTTGAATGTCTCCTATGAAACTACAGTGTTCATGATGTTCCTTTAGAGATAGGCTGGGCTCATGATGCCTTCTGCTCTCATGAGACCTTCTACTCTGGCCTTTCTGCAGTGATGAAAAGCAAAAGTAAAACTTGGAGTCTGTAGAGCTGATTCATGGAAGTAATTATTTGTTTCTGCATTAACAACTACTTGCTTTATTTGGCATAAGTACAGACTGTCTTTCTTGATCTAGTAGTATCTGCGTAAAGCAAAATAGGGAGCAACCAAGTGCTGGTACATGACATGGTATAACCAATAGCAGAGTCCTGGCCACATTCAGGCCTGCCCTTGACACATTTTTTTTCTCCTTTAAGTTAACACAGAGGTATTGAAGAGTATAGGCATGGCCAGAATGCAGAACAGCATGACTCTGCTCTCCATCAGTTTTATCTCTGTTAGTGAAGATATTTTTAGAATTGCTGTAGTGGTGTTTTGAGTGAGGAAGCAGTATCATTTCTCATTTATGTTCTAGTGTGTCTGAAAAGTAGGGTGAAGAGCCCATGTAAGGAAGCTCTGGAGAGTGTGATGAACCATGAAGAGACTAACAGTACTGTAGAGACATTAGGGTTGCTTAAACTGGGCACTAAATTCACATGTGTGGTGGTTGTGCTTAATGGCACTTGCTCCTTAATGAGGCTCTTTAGGTACCTACTGGAGGTACAAGTGTTGACTCTGGTTTCAGCTCTGTTATTTGAGCTCCTAATGACACTGCTCATTTTAGTCTCTAGAAGTCAATGCTGTATTTCTGTAGCATGTGAACTTAGTGCCTTTACAGCAGAAAATGGATTAAAGGCATATTGTAGGAATTTGGAGTAACAACATAGGCTTTGATCTTCTTTCAGAACAGGTATTTTTTCCCTTTTTCCTGTAGAAAATTATGACTTCTCCAAAGAACAGAGTTTAATGCTTCAGTAGTTACAGGATATTTTATATGGATTGAGTACAAAGTTCGTGTAGTTGATATTACATGGCCTTTGTAGAACTAAGCATTGAACCTTTTTGTGTAAGGGTGTGCAGAGCTACTCTAGCAACTGTACACAGGACAGTATATAGGAAAGGGGACTTCTGTTCTGGCAGTCTGACATATTTAATATGGGTTTTGGAGGCCTCTCTTACATACCAGATGAAATTTAAGCTTTTTGTTTGTTTTGGCAGATGAAGGGGCATTAGTGAAAGGAGCAAAAAAACTTGGTTATGTCTTCACAGGACGGACTCCGCATTCAGTTATCATCGATGCGGTAAGTGGTAGATGCGCATGGCACAGGCTGCCAAGCTCATGCAGAGCCTCCCGTGTGGCTCCTGTGAGGGCCCTTTTCCAGGGTCCTTGTGGTGCTTACAGGCAAAAGGCTTTTGCACACGAGGCGAAATGGTTTTAATCTATCTGAAGATGCAAAGTCCTTTACCCTTCTGTGTGGCATGGGCAATAGGAAGTTGCAAGCTTACACGGGAAATAACAGCAGTTGTGCCTGAAAAATATTTTCCTTGTCTGGGAAGCACAGATGGGAACACTCACACTCAGAAGCAAATTCATATCTCTGGCTGACTATTATGTTTAGTGGTTACAATTCTTCTAAGTGTTTCATTTCTTGTATTAAAAGGAATTATTTTTCTTCTGAGTAAGATGTTCTGCATCTTCTTAAGATGTATCTACTTAACAAGCTCTTTATGCAGGGATGTGTAGTTAATGGGTTACAGTTGACACAGACAGTGTCAAACTCATGGGCTACGTTCAGACTCAAGTTGCAGTCTAAGCTAAAGTGGTTCCAGATTTATACAGATGCAGCTGGTAGGGTGCTTTTTACAAATGATGGATGTATTTTTGTCCTTCCTCTTGGGTGTGTTCACTTCCAAATTCCTTGGTACACTGCCAAGATGAGCACTTAAAACACATCTTCTAGGACTTGTCACAAACTTTTAACAATTTCTCAGAAATTACTTCTTAATTTAAGGGGAAGAATTTAGGATGAGCAGTCATCTAGAGCTGTCTAGGTGCTTCTCTTCTTTGCAGGAAGAGCCAGGCCTACCTGACCTAGCTTTATACTCCCAATACCAAGTTAGGAGCATGGTCAGTCTACAGCCAGCAATAAAAGCTGTCACTCCCAGAGGTTCCTGTCCCTCCTCATTGCCTATGTCAGTGGCAGCACATGTAACATGGGTCAGAGATGCCTTTTGGTCTTGGGGATATTGCTGAATTGAAATGTGCCTTGTAGGACAGGACATAAGTCTATACTACAATCAGATTTTACTGCAGCACTTTCTTTAACCACATGCTACAAATACCACTGAAGTTTTGAGACTCCAGTAATTCCTACTACTCCTTGTGTCTGTTATATAACAAGTATGGCAGGTGTTTTGAAATCTTGCTCTTTCTTCAGGTGGTTCATGCTCAACCCTAGCAGAGAGTTGTTGGTGATAAGAGGAATTTCTCCTCAGTTAACTTTTTTTTTGCCACGAAAAATGTAATTAATGTTCTTGTAAATTCAAGTAAAAGAAATGCTTAGGGAGTTCAGTCAAAGGTTATTTTAACACCAAATCTGGAGAGCATCTTTATTTTAACTTGGAAAAACACTCACAGCCTGTTGATAGCTGTTAAGAACTAAATATGCAGCTTACGTTTCAGAGCATGCCTGTAGTTTTGGAGTAAGATATTGATTCCGTTGTAATGGTGCAGCAATAGTGAATGAAGGATGCCACAATACTGAATGTTGAAGGAAGTTCATTAAATTGGGCTCTGCGTACTTTAACCAGCAGAGGGAGCCATTGCCATATTTATTTATACTGGGTTGTGTGAGAGACACCTGACCAGCTTGCATGTTTGCACGTGTGAGAACACAATGTGGATTGTACTTATAATAGTACGTGCTTTGTTTTGTAGCTGGGGAAGGAGAAAACCTTTGAAATTCTTAATGTGCTGGAGTTTTCCAGGTGAGTTTTCCTCTAATATACTAAATGCAGCATGAGAATACCATTCTTGTAAATGTGTTATTGAGATAAAAAGATACAGCTGATGCAGTAGAAAAGCAGAACTTCATTAGTTCTTGTTCTGCCCCTTCATCTTCTCATTTCTGATGTAGGACGAGTACAGAGCTGGTGGCTGTTGGCATGTGAGCATGAAACTCCCTTGCCACTGCATCTCGATTTATTGAAAAGTTGCTGCTCTGGAAGTGTTTTGCTGTAACGTGTGGATATCCTAATGTGTTACTTGTCTTCTTGAAGAACATACTTTGAGATCACGCTTTTATAGATCTTCTGTAAATTACTTGGTTTTGAGTAGATGGAAACTGCAACTGGAGCTGCCCCTTCTTAACAACTGCTCCAACTATGAAAATATAAACATTGCAAGCACTTCGAGCATGTCAGGTCCATTAGGATGGGCATTGCTTGCGTAGCAAGAAGCTTTGTTTGATGAATTGGATCCCTAAATCACTGGAGATGATTTTTATTTTTCAGTTGATAAAAGTTATGTCAGTTTGGATGGTGCTAGTCAGCAGTCTTTTTTGGTGTTTTTTGTTTTTTCTTTTTCTACTCTTACTGTGGATTAAAGCCTTGAACTCTTGTCCTCTGCTGTCTTTGAATTGGCTGGCCTTGCTCAAAAGGACTATGTAAAACTAAAGGTGGGGGATATTAGGGTAGGCAGCTTTTCTTGTGTGCTGGCTTGCTTTGAAGGTTATTCTTGACTACTTTGCCCTTTCCTACTACATAATGTAGCTACATAAGCTACTTGTGGAAAGTATCTAAAAAGGCGCTAAAGAGTCTTTGGGGGTTTTTGACAAGCTGACCACAGTACCCTGATGTCTATAACAGGACTGTAGCCTGCTTGCAGCAGAAAAAAGCTATCTTACTTTTCCCCTGCGTGTAGCAACTTCCCACGTGACCAGCAAGGAAGTTCCTACAATGAGATTTCAAGGAGCATATGGAAGTTTCCCAGTGTCATTAGCACGTTGCAGAAATTCTGGCCACAGCTAATTGCTGCCCTTCTACCCCCTCTTTAGAAAGTCTCAGAAGGGATTGTTTTATCTTATGATACGTGCCAAGAGCTTGCGTACTTACACGTTGCTCTTGACCTCTGAAAAGAGACCAGATCTCCCAGAGCAACTTCAAGAGGAGAAGGAGAGTTGCTCTACGCTCTGATCTGTTTGTTCACATTGGCAAAAAATTGTCCTTTTGCTAAGGCAAATGTTTATACAAAACCACAGGTTCCTAGGGTTTCCTTGATGAGAGTTGATTTGCTTGTGTCTGCCTCTTACAAGTTGTGTTGTGTTTTTTCTAGTGCATCTTTTAAAGGAGAGATTACTAAGTAAAATGCCAAAAATTATCTTTAAAAAAACCCTATCCTTGCCTATGTTCCTATGTTAAATGTCTATGTACAGTATGCTACTGTCCACCTTTATGTTATTTTTAAGATACATGCCAGGCTTGACTGTCTTGATAAGCAGCCTTGCTCAGGATGTTTGGCTTCCTTCTACATAATTGCAGCTATATAGGTCTGAGTAGACCTATATAAAAAACCTGTGGGGAGGCCAAGAACTGGTCTATACCATAATTCCATTCTATGATGTTTCTGCTTTCTTTTGAGTTAGGAAGTTAAATAACTGCCCTTGACAGTGGATGGTTGTTTCGATGTCTGTTACACATATAATAGATACATCCAGCCTTAATGATTCTGTTTCTAGAGTGAGTTCCCAAAACAATTTTGCTAGAGGAATAAGAAAAAGTTGAAAGTAAATGTGGCTCCCATTTTTTCCAGAGCATTTTATCCTATCTTGCCTTTTTCTTGCTTACATTTGAGTGTAAGTCTGTGTTCTGATTAAGTGCTTGGCAACAGGAGCCATAGGGCTGAAGCTGGAAATGGGCAATTTAGTGTTTCTCTCCTTGCTGTCAAGGGTTGTGTGATCTTAAGTTACTACTCTTATATCGCATCATATCTCAGATGCACTGAACACATGTGAGAAAATTCACTGGCTGGAACAGGAATTACTCTTGATCGCTTTGACTAATGAAAGCAAATATTTTTTTTTCACTAGCAACAGGAAGAGAATGTCAGTGATTGTTCGAACTCCAGCAGGACAACTACGTCTCTACTGCAAAGGGGCTGTAAGTAATTATGCTGCCTAATGGAGAATTAACAGTACCAGTTATTGTTTCAACAGCTGTGGCTGATGCTGGCATTTCATGTCTCATACATAATACCTGTTAGCTTTCTGTTTAAGGCCAAGTGATTTAAGAGAGCTGTCATTCTTCCTCTGACTCCTTTTGCAGGCAGGAAGATTGCTAGGCTTTCTACTGCCCAGTTAAAATCCTGAAACTAATGGGAGCAGTACCCTTTACTTCAGCAAAGTCAAGATTTCACCCAGCTGTGCTGTGGGAGTTTAGGAGCTGGACTAAATGCTGTTGTCTGAATTTATAATATTAAAATCTGTTCTCAAGTGGTTGGCTGTTGGTCTGGCTCTTCTGCACCTCTGCACCTGCTGTTTGTCATCATGACTTGCTCCATGTTGTGCTTCTGTCTCCACTGACAAGAGCAATAATCTACCACAGTACAAAGTCTGCAAAACTAGCATTGTCCACAACCAGAAAGTCATTCTAATGTCAGTGGAAAATTATGGACCTGGCTTTTTTTCAACAGGGAAAAAGTATTTTTGACCTCTAAGGCTCTAGTTTACTTGAATTTGTCCTGACATATAGGTCTGGGTGCGTTGCTCTATTGCTTCAGTTTACCTCCCCTGATTTGATAAAGATGTGCTGGCTTCATGCTGGAGTGATGAAAGTGCGTTAAGACCACTACCATTGTGCAGTAATTTACAGTTGCATGTCTAGTAGGACCACACAGACTTGCAACTGCTCGTTGTTCATGCTATGCCTGAATTCACACTGTTTTTTGGAGTGTGGCACTGGAGGGGATGGAGAAAAGGAGAGTTTGTAGTACAAAATTTCATATTGTCTTCCATATGAGCAGCCCTAGATGTACTAACAGAGCAAAAGTGTTGCAGTGATTAGTGTAATCTGGTGGTTTGTCTGCTGCATCTGCCACTCATCTGAGATGTAAGTTAACTGCCTGTTTTGCATTAACTTTTGCACATTCTGGTAGTCATCCTCTGTCCTGTCACTTCCACAGTAAGTTGGTTTGTATGCCTGTCTCTAATCAATGCTAGATGTAGGCCTGTTTACTTAGCTTAAGAGCATATGTATGAGTAAAAGTAGGGTTTCTGTATTTTACATGTTTGTAACAACTTGTTCTGGTAGTTGCAGAATAAAATCCGGAGACTCTAGATACGATGGTGCTGTATTTTGATTGCAGCTTTTAGCCTTTTCAGTTGTCCTTTGATTTAGTGATGAAGAAAGCTGTTGCAGGAGGGAGGTTGCTTCTGAGAGAATTTTGCAGTAGAATGAGATCAGTGTTTCTGCCTCTTAATTTTTAACATCAATGGGAATCTTTTCTAGAAAGGATTGCGGGAAACTCTTCTTCTGCATGCGAGTACAAGTATGTACTGAACTTAAGACCAGACAGTTACTCTCTGAAATCAGTAGATTGTCTTATAACTTAGAGAGAAATGTTTTGTACTGCCCAATAATGGTGACCTTTTTATGGAAAGAGGGGAGAAGGGCAGAGTGTACTTCTGTCTTCATTATTGAAAGTGGATGCAGTATTCCCGCCACTGGGCACAACCTAAATGACTTAATCAAATCAGAATCTCTAAAACCCAAATGTGTTACTTTTAAATATAGTCTTGGCTTTGATATTAGCAAGTCCATGAAGGTTGCTTCACTTGAGCTTGTAAATACACAAATGGAAACTTCATATGTAGACTTACTCTGTTGTAATGAATTTGGTTTTAATAGGATAATGTAATTTTTGAGAGGCTATCGAAAGATTCCCAGTATATGGAGCAAACACTGTGCCATCTTGAATACTTCGCAACAGAAGGTAAGAGAAACAGCATGCACTGAGAATTCAGTTTTATCAAATTACTTGCAGCATCTTCTACATTGTCTAAGATAAGCAGTGTCAAATAAGATGATTATGAAGATAAATCAAGAAGTGTGTAATCAGCAATTTAAAAACTGTAAGATGACTTTAAGATTAGAGAGGTTTTTGCCCTGCTTCTGTGTGATTTCAGTAGGGAAGTGGAAAAGATGGTGTTCTCTGTGTCCATGATGAAAGGGTATAAGTTGTATTGCCCAGAATAACTCAACTGCACTGGAGTTAGAGTTGTAAAAGTTGAATGCCAAAGTCCCTGGCTTTACGAAGCAGAGTGATAATCTGAACGTGCTGGGAAGCCTTGTAGACCAAGACATCAAAGATGACCTGAAATGGTCTGTATGGCCTTTGGCTGATGTAACACCTCTGTTCACAGGGAAGCACTTGGCTTTGTTCCCTCTGCTGCAATAGCATAAGATACTTGTGCTGTAGTAAAACCATGAACCAGTGGTTTTCTTCCTAAATCTGAAAACATCATTCAGCTTTTAAATATATATTTTTTGCAGACTCCCGCGTTCCCAGTAAAGAAATTTTTGTATTTAATGGCACACGTGCATTTCTGCTTGATTCATGCTAGGAAAAAAAATTATTACTTCTCTATGTAAATTTTTGTCAGTGGTGTAATAAATTGATTTTCATACTTCGCGGACCCTATTCACTATATCATACATGTCCCATTATTAATGTGAGTTAGATTTATACACTGAAGGAGAAATTGGTCTTGCTAAAAAAAAATGGATGATGTGGTATGTTTGACGAAGTAACATCTCCAATCACAGTATGTAGCCAGTTTTTTAATTTGATCTTAAAAATACATGAAAGCAAGACTTGTTTTCATGCTCACTTAGAAGGTTAAAGATGACACTTTTGTTGGTCAAGTATGGCTAGATTTCAATAGTGAAAATCAGGGACTGGAGACATCTAAGTTTTTACCCATTAGACTCTTGATTTGCACCAACATTAGTAATGAAATGAGCCAGACTTTTGGTTTACATTTGTGGAAATTTAAGTGCTTTAAAAATGTTGAGGGAGATTTTGTGGAATCCAGAGTTTAGCAATCTGTGTTAATAGCTCCTGTTGTTCCAGTGAGAGGGTTGGAATTTAGTGTTCATTAGGGCATTAATGATTTACTGATTCTCAGTGTAATTTTACTGTGGATAATGGCTGCCTTATGTTTCATAGGTCTGAGGACATTGTGCATTGCTTATGCAGATCTATCAGAGAAGTCTTACAGAGAGTGGTTGAATGTCTACAATGAATCCAGTACAGTTCTGAAAGACAGAACTCAGAAGCTGGAGGAGTGCTACGAGATCATTGAAAAGGTGAAACATACTTCTTTGATTAGATACAGGTTTCCTTAGATGAGTATTTTTCAGTGGAATTTGGGCTTTATACAATAAAGTAAACTGTTAATTTAGTAGATGAGAAACTGAAAAGATGTTCTTAGATGGCAGCCTGTTCAGTCCATAGATCTCTCAAGTTTTAATTTGTAAGTCTGAGACAAACTTATGGATTAAAAAAAAATAATTTCTACTTATAAAAGCTTTTCACACACATTTTTTTATCTTCCTTTTTTGTGTAAGATTTTTGTAACTTGATAAAGCTAATGTATAAAAATCGTTGTGTTGCACCAAATTCCCATGTACTAGTATATGAAGAAATGCACTGCTTTTCATACAGCAGTCACAGTTCAGGTGTTCTGAAGGCTTCATTGTAGGCACAATGAAGTCCTTACCAAAGCCTGTAGTTGCATGGACTGAAAAAAGGTGGATAAACTGCACTCCATGAAAATTGCAGAGCCCTTAATTTTGGAAGGGAAAGGTAGGTATTGGAGAAGCAATTTGAAACGCTGATCACACATAGAATTAAATGTTAAAGTGCCAACACTAGGGGCCAGTGTTTCTCCTAGCCTTGTTGGTCTTGCTGCTTTCTGAAATGCTGGTAGTCGCACTCCTCACCTACAGGTGTTCACGCTCTTCCCCCTTGCTCCAGGTATTTCACTCTCATTTTATTTAGTGGTTTCTTTAAAACATGCTTTGAACTTCAATTTATTTTAAAATTAATATTAAAAATGCTGCTTAAGTTCTGGAACACTCTTTTTTATTGGGGCAGAATCATAGAATGGCCTGGTTTGGAAGGGACTCTAAAGGTCATTGAGTTCCAACCTCCTGTGATGGGCAGGGACACCTTTCACTAGACCAGGTTGCTCAGAGTTCAATCCAAACTGGCCTTGAATACTTCCAGGGATGGGACATCCGTGAGGAAGTTGAGACTAGGATGGGAGTTAACTGTCACAGGGTAACAGAAAAGCTCCAAGAACTCTTTCAGCAAGAGCTGAGGATTGAGTCTTTGTTTTCAAAGTAATGCCTAAAAATCTTCTTTTGTGTTACAGTGTGTCAGTAACAGTGGCTGTCTAATCATTAATTCTGGGTAGCTCCTTTCAGTGTTCTGCTTCTTGCGCTGTGCTCTTGTATTCCTCTGTTGTCACTGAGGTGAAACATGAACGTGGCTTTAACTTAACTTTAAAGTGTGTTCTCAAACCTTAGATCATTTTTGGTCGTCTACCTTCCACCTTTTTTCACAATTCAGTATCTTGAAAAAAGGGGAACCCACACATGGGTTTTAGAATTGGAGCTTTGGACTTGGTACCATATTGGCAAGAACTATCCACTGTATGCCTTTCCTGTTACTGCTTGCTTGCTGCTCATACCAAGGAACAGTGTATTTCCAGATAAACTGGCTTGTGGCTGTGACATAAAATACAATGTATTTTAACAGGCTAATGTTTGTTGTTTTTTTGTTTTTTTTTCATCTAAGAGCTCAAATTGAGAGCAAGAGAGCTACTTTGTCAGTCTGAGTGTTGAAATGGCTGGATCACAGTACAAGTGCACATGCAGAGACCAATTTGAACTGGCTTCCTTCCCCAGTTGTACGCTGGTTGAGAGGGCTTTGGTGAGCCCAATAGTAACTCCCCTGCTCAGGTAGCTCAACCATGCTGGTCCCTGTGCTGTCATGTTTAGCTGTTTTGGGGGAAAAAAAGACAATCTGCAATTACACACTTGGATTCCATTTGTAGCAATACTGAGAGCATTTGTAGGACTTAATGTTTCATTGGGAGGTTGTAGGGTACTAAAGCATGAGAACTTGTATGAGCTGATTCTGCTATCTTTACCAACTGAATATCTCATAACAAAAATGAAGCTTTATCAAGACCTGCAACTAATGCCAGCTTTACACACCTCTATGAATAATAATTTGCTCTTCTGTTCTTTAGGCATCTGTAGATTCATACAAGCAGAAACTGCTTTAATGCCCTCTTTGTGGTATCATAGAAGGGTTTGGGTTCAAAGGGGCCTTTCAAGATCATCTAGTTCTAACCCCCCCCCCCTCCATGGACAGGGACACATTTCAGTAAACCGGGTTCCTCAAATCTCTACCCAGCCTGGCTTGGAACACTTCCAAGAATGGGTCATCCACCTCTTCTCTTCGCAACCTATTCAGTGTCTCACCACCCTCATCTTTTTCAGTTTAGAAGCATCACCTCTTATCCTGCCACTTCAGCTGTCTTTCTCCATATTTTGTATAAGCCCACTTTTTATATAGAAAGGCCACAATAAGGTCACCCTGGAGCCTCATCATCTCCAGGCTGAACAACAGTAACTTTCCTAACTACTTCTGTTCACTTCATCTGTCTTCATTTCTGTTGAATAATTTTAGTCTCTACCAAGAATAGAAGCTGTTACTTTTTCTGTATAATTACTGAAGTGATACAGTATACTTAAACTCAATTTATATCAATTTATGTTAGATTGAAGATCTTTGCATGTCTAAGGAATCATTAATATGCTTTTAAAGGTAAAATTTGAGTAGACTGTACCATTTGACAAGATTTATTTCTTAGCTGTTTTTTCTGCCTCACTTTTTTTTCTCTAAGGTAGCCATATCTCTTCAAGAAATTACTGTAGAATTGCATAAGAATATGGCAAACTCTGTAGTTTTAAATTCATTATATGAAGCATGTTTTTCTGGCAGACATCTGTACATTGACTAGAGATACTTGGATTGATTAATGTTCATACCACTTGTATTACTTAAATGTAGTGATTATATCCATAAATAGTTACAATAATTTTTGCTTTTAGTGATTGTATCCAGTCTGTATGTACATTTTATGGACAGAAATTAGTTTAAATGATGTGATGCCAAATGACTTGTTTTGTGAGCTTAAATACATAAACTGTGACCACTCATCATGTTGCTATGGTGATTAGTGAATGCTCCAGTATATACGTTCATCCATAGGTTAGCTTTGAGTTTTAAAACTTCAATTAATTATTCTTGAAATGTTGCCATCTTTCTGATCAGAAACACTCTGTTCCATTCTGTACCTCTTGAAATGTGAATTGTGTGCAGAGGAAGTAGAATAGCCACACCAGAAATTTACTGTAGTATAAATTGCTTGTCAAAATGCAGTATTAACGAGAGGCAACATGCTGTCTTAATTCTGTTTTGAGTGTGTTCCACACAGAGGTTTAACTTCAGAAAACAATCCCTCAAATTCTTTTTTTTTTCTTTTTTCAGGATTTGCTGCTTCTTGGAGCTACAGCCATTGAAGACCGCCTGCAAGCAGGTGTTCCAGAAACAATAGCCACACTAATAAAGGCAGAAATTAAGATATGGATTTTGACGGGTGACAAACAGGAAACAGCTCTCAATATAGGTATCCATCCTTCTGGTTACTCTGAATTTGTCTGATACATAGCAGGTTACATGCTATGTGGGATTTTAAACAAAATCAGGCCTGCTTCATATAGGATGGTTCCTCTGTAGCAGGGCATGACTTTGGAGAAGGGGGTTTTTAGTGAAATCTTCACTATGAGTGTTGGACTGTATTCAGATGTTTTGGTTTTTGAGGCAAAAGGGACATTTCTACTCTTGATTAGGTGCAGTTCTTTTATTGAGTGAATATATGTAACTCTGCTTTCTGATGGAAACCGAACAACCTAACCAGGCTAATGTTTCCGATATTCTGTGCGTTGTATGAAACTGGTTTAGAGTTTCTTTTTTCTTACTGACTGCCTTTTGTAGGCTTTAATAGAGTTTGGGATATGATGAGAAATATGGTAATGCAAAGTGTGTAGATTACAGGTTCTGGCAAACTGTGTCTGTGAAAGAGGGTGGAAGCTTGAATAATTGACCCTGATGGTACATCTGTTCGTACGTTGTGATTGTTAGCAGAAGTGTGTTGCTGCTGATGCTCACTATTGAGTGTGTGTGTGTATGGAGATCAGTATGGGTTGTTTTACTGAGGTATAATCCAGATATCTTTGTCTCAACCTTGATGCATCCTGGCTTACAGGCTACACCCTTTGTAATGCAAAAACCCCCCAATGTGCAATGATGTGAAAAGAAAGTACAAATTCAAGTGTTTATTAGACAAGTGTGCTTCCGTACTGATGGAGTACGGTGGTAACCTAATTAAGACATAGGTGTTGATCTGGTTACCTGTTTTTGCAGCATAAAACTGGAGAGTTTTAAGCATTTGTAAGTTTAGGTTTGTTATTAGAAGCAGCCCTTAAACATTACATTTCTTCTTGAACACGAGACCCCACCTGTAGTATTGCATCCAGCCCTGGGGCTCCCAGTACAAGACACACATGGACCTGTTAGTGTGGGTGCAGAGGAGGGTCACAAAAACTATCAAAAGGCTAGAACATCTCTCCTATGAAAACAGGCTGAGAGTTGGGGTTGTTCAGCCCGGAGAAGAAAAGGCTCTGGGAAGACCTTTCAATACATAAAGGGAGCTTATACGAAAGACTGAGTATGACTTTTTACCAAGGCCTGTAGTGGCCAGGCGAAAGCCAATCATTAGAAACTGAAAGAGTTTCAGACTGCACATGAGGAAGGTCATAAATGTGTCTGATAATGGTTAATATTCCCAACACCTATCCAATACTAAGATTTTACTGTAAGGGTGGACTGAACTGGAGGTTCACATTGTAATTTCCATCCTATTGCAATTAGGTGCTGTGCTCTCTAGCACTTCTGCTACCATGCTCGTCTTGCATTGGATATACCACATGAGTAGGTCTAGTAAACACTCAAAACGCAAATCTTTCAGCCCTTTTCTCAGTGGGGATGCTGCGAAGGTGGGTAACCTGGGTAGCAATACCTTGTACCATCACAAAATGCAGCCATGGCTAAAATTTCTGAGCTGTGCCTATGCTACCATTATGCTTCATGCAATGCTAGTAGTCTCCTAGGGAGTGGCTACTCAGGTCTTAACTTAGTAGTAAAGGCTTGGGAAAGGAACATATCCCGATGTAAGCACATCCCCTACCATGCCATCCCATACCTCCCAAAAGTAGCATCTTTGGCAATATAATACCATGATGCTCTTGCATTCTTTTTGATGACTTTTCTCCCTGTCATTGTAAGTCTGCCCAGAAGACAAAATAGCACTCTGTGGTGATCTGACATCTCACATAAGTAGGTTCAGTTACAGACCATCACAGTTCTGCCAGGAGTAGTCTGAAATACTCCCAGACCTGTCTGCATGCAGTTCTAAATGTAAAAAGCTTAAGTTGTCCCCTTATTCATATAAATAGAGAGTCCTGAAGTCAAGATGAGCTCAAGAAGGCTAAAGAAATGTCTCCTTTAACAGGAGGCAACCTATGCCGCTAAGGTTCCACAGTTGCATTCAGATTTGCCAATTAGTCTGTTTAGGTGTAGGTTAAGGGGAACATTAACAGAATACGTTGCTTCCTCAAGCTCATGTTGACTTCAAGATTCTCTTAATATTGATGCTCTGTAACTGAACTTAAATTACCTTTAACAAAATTTCAGGCATTTTAATTTTTTTGTCTGGTTTGTTTTGTTTTCTTTTTTTCCTTTTTTTTTCTGTTTTGGTTGGCTTAGTGAAATTTCAGAATGTAGTCTGTTCCAGTTCCAGTTCCAGACTGACTGGAATTTTTGTGTACTTCTCAAAACCAGATCAACTTTCATAAGTCTTTGTATGTTGAAGTTGATACCAAGAGATGAAATTAACTGTTACAGTTGTAGAAGAAATAAGGTGGATGGCTTAAGTAGACAATTGATTTAAAAGCTAATTATCGGTTTCAACCACTATATGCAGATTTTACTTTCTTTACAAGCAGTAGTCAATGAGAGGAGGGAAGCATCATCTTTTGACTACTGAAAAAAAGGTATCTACAGATTTTGGCATAAGTACCTCAAATAAATTGCTATATTAACCAACAGCAGGTAGCTTGAACACAGGTAAATGAGTTTTTTCTGATGGCCGTGAAGGAGACAAATTTCTAGCTTCTCTTTAAAACTGTTGGTTTGTTGTTTCTTTTATTATAGTAATCTGAGGAGAATAAGCATCTCTATGAAAAACTTCTAAATTATCACTTTAATGTACAGTTTGGTACTAAAACTCTGATTAGCTTCATGTTCAAGTTAGCTTGAAAGTATAAATATGTGGCAGCCTTCCGGTTTTTGTATGTAGCTCATTAAAAGACAGTAATAAAGATCGAACTTAAAAAACAACCCACATGTGCACTATTTTTCAGGTGTAAATATGCTATCTGGGGAGTAAAAAGTATTTTCACTTTCTCATTATGTGTGGAGGCTATCCTTATGGAGTCTTGCTTGCTGTATGGATGTGTGTGTGTATTGAGGTATATTTGAGCTCTTGGCAGGTGTATCAAGGAGCTGGAGTACTTTGTTCTTCCAGCTTCCTCTTGATTCTTTGTTTTTCAGAATTTGCATATGTCTGTCTCCTGATTGCATTTTTGACTTCTCTGGAAAGTAGTAGTTGACCTTATTGTGGGGTGACTGTATGCTTTCTACTCAGCCATGTGCCAATCAATAATTTTGCAGGTGAGGAGGGTGTTCATTATAAGCTTTAATGCTGATCAACCATTTGAACTCTCTACCTCTAGAAAATGGGAGCTCCAGGTTCAGAAACATCTTTGAACATGACCTGCTAACAACTCCTGGAAGGGTTAAGTGTTCTTGTAGCTTCATCCTTTTTCTTCAATCAGTCTGCAGACTCTGGATCTTCATTGTCTTTCACTGAGACAAAAACACCCATGACAGATTTCTGTTTACTACCATCCTGGTGCTCAGCAGACTTACAAAAAATCAGAACTGCTCTATTTGCAGTCATTAACTTCTTTAGGAACAGATTTGTTTTCTAGGAATTCGGGAATACAGTATTTTCTCAATGGTATCCCTCCCCTGAACAATGAATCAGTCTCTACAGTTGAGCTGAGTGCTCTTCCCTAGTGTGTGCATTCATAGCTATGAGCACTGCCTTAAAATCATAGAAGGGTTTGGGGTTGGAAGGGACCTTTTGAAGACCTAGTCCAATCCTCCTGCTGTGGTCAGAACATGTTTAACTAGATCAGGTTGCTTAAAGCTCTATCCAACCTGGTCTCAAACACTTGCAGGGATGGGGCATCCACAACTTGTCTGGGCAATCTGTTCCAGTCTCACCACCCCATCATAAGAAATGTCTTCCTCATGTGCAGTTTGAAACTCTTTCAGTTTCAAATGATTGGCTTTCGCCTGGCCACTACAGGCCTTGGTAAAAAGTCATACTCAGTCTTTTGTATAAGCTCCCTTCATGTGTTGAAAGGTCTTCCCAGAGCCTTTTCTTCTCCGGGCTGAACAACCCCAACTCTCAGCCTGTTTTCATAGGAGAGATGTTCTAGCCTTTTGATAGTTTTTGTGGCCCTCCTCTGCACCCACACTAACAGGTCCATGTCTGTCTTGTGCTGGGAGCCCCAGGGCTGGATGCAATACTACAGGTGGGCTCTCGTGTTCAATTTTTCATCACTCAGTATCCCCAGGTACTTCTCAGTAGGGCTGCTTTCAATCCATTCATCCCCAGGTCTGCCCTGATTGATATTTGGGATTGCTGCAGCAAAGTGCAGGACCTTGCACTTGCCTTGCACTTGTGGAGCTTCATTCTGTTTCATAGGCCTACTGCTCAAGCCAATCCAAGTGCCTCCTGGTGGCATCGCTTCCCTTGAGTGTATCAAATGCACAATTCAGCTCTGTCTTGTCTGAAGACTTGCTCAGAGTGAACTTGATCCCATAGCATGTCACTGGAGAAGATACTGAATGGTATCAGTCCCAGAACTGACCCCTGAGGAACAGTGCTCATTACTGGTTTTCATTTGTGTGTTGCACCACTGAGTGTAACTCCATGGGTGTTGAACCATTGATTGCAACTCTCTGGATGCAGGTGTCCAGCCAATTCCTTACTCATCTAACAGTACATCCATCAGACCCATATCTTTCCAGTTCAGAGGTGAGAACACTTCTTGATGAGCTGTGCTTTTTTTCAGTTGAGGAAACTGAAGCAATGCCAGCACACTTGCCTATATCCCTATGCAAGTTTGAGCAGGTCATATGTACCCTCTCTGAACACAGAGGATAATCATTCTTGCCTCAGATGCTGGATTCTGTATGCCTGCAGTACAAATGTGCCTGTAGGCTATGATCCTGAACTCTGGTTAAAGCAGTCTTTCTCCCAGGACACTTGAAGTAAGTCCCGGAAGTACCTGATTCATCTGCTTTGTGGACTCTTAATCAGACTTTTAAATTACAGAGCTAGATATCAACTTGCAGGTGTGAATTGACATTTTATATCTGGCTTGGAACCAGCAGCTGATCTTACTCTACTCAGAAGCATTGAGGAAACTATGTACATACGTTAGGGAATGTATTTTTGCTTGCTGTATTAGTATTGCCAGTAATAACTATTATAAAACTATTATAAAACTTTAAAATATTACTGCAAATGTCTAAGATTATTACTGGTAGTCTCACAGTTGCCAGCCACTTTGCTTTATACTAGTGCTAGATTTTAATATCATCTTAGCCTGGAATTGTATATAATGTATAGATCTTCTATAAACCCTTGTTAGGCTTGGCTTACATTTTCCTATTCCGATCTTGGTCTTCCTGTTTTAATGTGATAGAAAGATGCAAAATAGCCTCAATTGCAGGGTAAGTTCTTCTGAATCCATGACTTCCAAGATGCACAGCAGAGCAACTCTGTTTTCCACAGTATCTTTTTTTTCTTCCTGCTTGACTTGTAGAATGGCATCTTGCTCATTTTGAAAGAGGTAAAGTGAAGCGGTGGTTTAGAAATTACAGCTTGCTATTGCAGCTGCTATTCTAATCAAACACTACTAGAAAATCTTTTTGAATTAGTTATGCTGAGTTTATAACATGCTACTGTACAAGACTGTTGCCATTGCCTGGGGAAAGAATAACCCTGGTATGGAAGGAAGTGCCTAAATTTGTACTACTCTCTTTTTCTTCTCAATAAAAATAAGGAAGTGAGTTTTCAGCCTGGGACTAACTTTTAAAAATGGCAAACTGACTTGAGAAAAAAGTCAGTGTTTTGTCTATACCTGCTGGAGGTTTGTTGCTCAATTCTGTACTACCACCTAAGACTTGTTCCCAGGCAGAATCAGAGGCTGTCTGCAAAGCTTTCATGCTATAGGCTGCATTTCATTAGAATATATTTCATCCTTTTCCCAACAGGTGTGTATGAGTTCAATGTCATTCTGTATTGTTCTCTGAAGCAGAAAGTAAACCTTGGCTCGTTAACACAACTAAGATGAAAATGTATTTGCAAGGTTGCACTTGATATTCATAGTCTACACAGCTGTGAAAATGGAGGACAAACTAAGCTTATGCAGGTAATCAAACCTGCTGCCTGAGAGTGCCTGGCTGTGCGATGTAAGCATGTCTTCCACAAAGGAAAACAAGGGATTTGCTTTCTTGACAGAAGTCACTCATGCAGGCATGTTAACCCAGGATTATGCCTACAAAACTAGCCCAATTATAAAAACTTTGTAGCCTGAGGAAATGATTTGCATTGCAATTGATGAGCCAGTACGACCTTCCTAAGGAACCAAGAATCCCATAGAAAATGTCATGCCTCGGTTGTTCTGTTGCTGTTGTAAGATATGGAAAGAGGCACTTCATCTTTTTACATTGACTATACTGTTATGCTTTTGAATCAGTCAGCCTTGCAGTGGTTCCTCACTGGGACATTACTCTTACAGTGCAATAGCCTCCAGTTGCTGTACGAGAAAAGAGACTTCCTAAGATCTCATTTTATTTGACAGCAATTTCTTAAACTTACTGTAATTCATTTCTACACAAAAACACAGTAGAAATACAAAACAATTCTATTGTATTTCTTTTTACTGTGTAATTTAGATGAGCAGTAAAAGGTGTGTGCTTCAAATAAATTCATTCTCTGCTGTTTTATTAAGCATACGTGACTGTGTCAACCCCAAGTGAACTTGTACGTGCAAGTGAGCTTTTAGGATAAAGCAGTGAGATTGTCTGATGCAAGTTTGCATTTGCCTCTTGCCATTAATATGAGTGGGAATTAAACTGTTTATTCTGCAAATGCTTATAGTTTTATAGATCTAAGAGAGGTTAGGTTTGTGGTGGTTTTTTTTTTGTTGTTGTTGTTGTTTTTTTTTTTCTTGAGAATTTTCATTTTCCGTTTTGGTGTCCTGGCAATAGTGCAGAACTGCCTTCTGACTGCTGCTCCAGACTATGGCAACTTGCTCTTTCTTGTTCTTTCGTGTCCCAGTCCTACACTAAGAATAAGCTACTACAGTTACCTGGTTCCTATAGGGCTTAGTAGGGCCTCTGTGTATGTCATTGATCTGTAGTTTTTAATGATGCTCAGAACCTTCCGCACTGAACTCTCCAACTAATCCATGTATGCACTTCTGGTCCTCTGGCACAGTTGCAACTGTGCATTCAGATCTGTTCCTGTAGTGCATGGAAGGCAATTCTACCTCCAATGTAGATGAAAAAATAAAATAACTTTTGCTGTAGGGCTGTAGGCTGTATTTGATTCATCTAGTTCACATGGTGCTTTCTTTAATTTAACTATCTCAAGTGATGTATTTGAAAGTGCAGATAAAACTCAGCCTGTGTTGCTAGTAAAATTGTCATTTTGGTGTGTGTCCTATGTACCAGTGTTTCCAGCAGTCTGTCTGATAGGAGTAACTGCTCAAAAAGTAAATTGTCATCTGATCTATAGATGCTTATCTCAAGGTTGAGCTCAGCCTTAGATAGTCTTCCAAAAAGTAAATCTTTGTGTGTTGTTTTTTTTTTCTCTCTTGCAGGGTACTCTTGCAGACTCATTTCACAGAGTATGTCTCTCATCCTGGTCAATGAAGAATCACTAGATGTAAGTAAGCAAATTCTGGTATAAGTCTTGACAGAAGGAGGTGTTATTAACGAGATGGAAAGTTGTTGAGCTTTCTCACTGAATTTCTCCTGCTTGCCCTTAGGGTAGCAAGATAAACAATGCACAGGTGTGTTGTGCAAAATGTACTCCTGAGGTCTTCAGTCACAAGCTGTAGAAATCAAACTGAAGTCTCAGAACAAGAAACCTATGAGGTTCATGGGTTTACTTCTGGTGCAAACTGGAAAAACATGTAGCATACCAGCAGGAATATAATTAGGCTTTAATGTATGGATATAGAAGTAACAGGTTTGAAGAAATTAAAAAAACAAAAAATAAGCTAAATAAGTAATTTCAATGTAATAAGCTATCTTCAGTATTGTATGGAACAGCTGTAACCAAACTGAGGCTTGAGCAAACTATGTTGTGAACTTGCCTATATACAGTAGCTTTTAAAACCTTAAATCAAAAATTGCCTATAAATGATAGCCATGCTCCTCATCTATGTGTAAAAATTAACTAGAAAAATCATACACTTGTACATGAATTTTCCCAGAAGATCTTTCCCTGTTCTGTGTGTTTCAATGTCAATATCAGTATTTGATATCACTTTGATTTCTATTAGAGGTATTTGTAGAACAGATGAAAGGATCTATAATAGGCAGCATCTGACAGTTGCATTTAGAGTTGGCAGTTCATTGTGCTTGACTGCATGGGAGATGGAAAGCCTGCATCTGAGTGTCAAACGAGTTACTAGATACCTGCAAATCTGGTGGAAGTGGGTCATACTATTGTGGCAAAGTTACCACCTGATAAGTGTTGTTTTCCAGTTACCTTGATATGATTCCAATAATTTAATGTGTAGAAATGTTTGGTTACAGAATCTGGCTGTAAAGAGTATTGGAAATTTATCAGTAAACATAAATAAAGAAAGCTTTCAGAAGATGAACTTGACCCTTGGCAAGTTTGATGACACCAAGCTGTGTGGTACAGTTGCTACACTGGAGAGAGGGGGTGCCATCCTGAGGGACCTGCACAGGCTTGAGAGGTGGGCCTGTGTGAACTTGGTGAAGTTCAGTAAGACTGAGTGCAAGGTCCTGCACCTGGGTTGATGCAGTCCCAAGCACAAGTAGAGGCTGGGAGGAGAATGGGTTGAGGGCAGCCCTGAGGAGAAAGACTTGGGGGTGTTTAGACAAAAAGCTCAGTATCACCCAGCAATATGTGGCTGCAGCCCAGAAAACCAGCTGCATCCTGGACTGCATGAAAAGAATCACAGCTAGCAGGTTAAGGGAGGTGATTCTTCCCCTCTACTCTACTCTCATGAGACCCCACTTGGAGTGCTATGTTCTGCCCTGTGGGCTCCCAACATGTGATTGTGTTGGAGTGAGTCCAGAGGAGGGCTACTAAGTTGGGGTCTGGAGTGCCTCTCCTACGAAGACAGGCTGAGAGGGTTTGGGCTGTTCAGCCTTGAGAAGGGAAGGCTCTGGGGAGACCTTATAGCACCTTCCAGTATCTAAAGGGGACCTGCAAGAAGGCTGGAGAGAGGGACCTCTTACCAAGGGTATTGAGTGATAGGACGAGGGGGAATGGCCTTATGCTTTAAGAGGGTAGTTTTAGATTAGGTATTAGATTATTTACTAGGGTGGTGTGACACTGGAAGAGGTTGCCCAGAAAAACTGTGGATACCCCATCCCTGGAGGTGTTCGAGACCAGGTTGAATGGGGCTTTGAGCAAACTGGTGTTATGGAAAGTGTCCCTGCCTGTGGCAGGGTGATTGGAACTAGATGATGATCTTTAAGGTCTCTTACAACTCTAACCCTTCTATGATTCTATGAAAAAAAAAAAAATTGAGAACCATGGCATGTCAGATGAGGAGAAAAAAACCTCTTATTGGTATATAGTCGATGGTCTTTTAAGTGAAGAAAATGGATGATTACATGATACACCATGAAGACATACCTAATATTGCAGGTGACTGCTGCTTTAGCTCAGATAGCGTATGTTCTCAAAAACATGAGCACAAACTTGTGGAGCTTCTAAACTGGTTCATCAGAAATGCTTTGTATTAAATCAGTATTGTTTTCAAACTAAAGTAAATATGTTATTCACCAAAGTACTCTTGTTGCCCTTCTGAATGTAGAATTGAATTTTTTGTAAGTCTGAATAGGAGACTTGTGATTTGTTGATAATTGCTGCTAGTTCTTTTAATTCTAAGGTGTCTCTAGCTACTTACTGACAATTTTTCAGTGTGGGATCTCCATAGTAATATTTATTTTCTGTTACACCTGTAACAGAAATTTTGACTCCTCTTCAACCGAGCTTAAAATCTATCCCTAGAAGATTCTCACACTGGAATTCTGTAGCATTATATTTAATATATTCCACCTCTGAAATCCATTAATACTAAAAATGAGTTTTTACAAGATCCAGGTTGAGCTTAGAGCCTTTAAATATTGATACACTTACCCCTTTGTGCAGTCCCTGTGTGACTTTCCCCCCCCACTTCTGCTCCTTGGCATGCAGTAGCAGGTGAGATGTGATCGAACAACTGTCTTGCCTTGGTTTTGAGAGCTAAATTTTTTCGAAGTCATGCGCTTCAGGATAAAAATCAATCATTTCTGTTCTCTTCAGGGAACTCCTGGGAATAGAAAAGACTAATCCCTAGCTTGATTCAGCCGAATTCTAGAAACTTAGCATAATAATCTGCAAATGTCTATCCCTTATAGACTTAACTGGATGCATACATATACTCACTTGTTTTTTTCTTTTCCTAATAAAGGTTTTTGAAATGAGAATATTTTGAGCACCAGATTTACTTTGAATGTAATTCTTGGACTCGATTTCTGCTTAATTAAATTGGAACACCATAAAGTCTTACTGTGCAGCTCTTAACCTGGAAAAATTTCTTTCATTGGCATCTCTTAGAATTTGAGTTGTGAGAGAAGTGAGAGGGGTAGCTGAAGAAGGGAAATCAGGTGATTCAGAGAGACCCCTTCTACTGGATATTACAGCCAAGGAATGTTAGGTGTGTTCCTCCCCATCAGTCCTGTAGAAAGAAGAGCTGGGAGCTGTATCAATTGCTTATCACATGGGGTTGTATTTAATAGTAGTGGAAGGGCAACACTGGAGGGACACAGTTCTGAACCTGTAGGTAGTATTTTGCTATAAAGTAATTTTGCTGATGTAAATGGAGCTGCACAGTGAGTATGTTCTGCAGAACTCACGTGCCTGGACTGACAGTCATCATCTGGCGTTATACACGGATGTGTAACCCACAGCAAATTGACATTCCAGTGTAAGAACCCTCAATGTTGGTGTCTGTTAATCAGATATGACTAAAGGTATAAGCAGAAGTTGGCTTCTGTTGCTTTTGGGATCCTGGTTCTTTTGCAGGAGAGAGGACATCTGTGCCTTATCAGTGATGTCATGCTGATTACTCCCAAAAAATGGGGGTAAAGTTACTGTCAGCTTTTCAGACTAAAACCAGAGTTACCTAGTACTCCAAATGCTCCAAAGCATTGGTATCGTGTACTTCAGTCATACTAAAAGATAATAAGGGATGCAGATATGGCTGCAAAGATGAGAACAAGCTGTGTACTACTAATACGTTGTAGATGCTTTGAAGGTTACATCTTGTGTGTTGCACTAGGGAGGAAACTGGGATTTTTGTCTCTCTCGGTATCATCTGCCCACATGCTTTGACCAAGGAAAACTGATCAGTGCAGGCAAGCTCAGTTTTAGCCAAGCATCAGCTCTCCTTCAGAGAAGCATCTGCCGTGGTCCTCTAGTGACTTGCGGCTAGTAAGTTACTTCAGTAGTTACCAGTCAACCTGGAATAGTAATCAGCTCTTCTGTGGACACTGGGGATTTGCCAAGGAAGCTAATTAGGAAAAGAATACATTTCTCTATTGTACCAAGCTTTTCTTATTGGTCAAATTTCTATTTTTCTTAATCTAGAAATAGCTATCAAGCCAGTAAGTGGTTACATAAGGAACAGTGTCTAGTAGTCAGATAAGTCTTCAAAAATGTTAGGTAGAAGGGGTTTAGTGTTTTTCTTGTTTGTTTTTGAGGAACAAATAGGATCTTTCATAACTCCAGGTACTTGCTAATCTGCATAGAAAGTTAGTTGTATGGATGTGGAAAATATACAGCTCTTAGTGTGAAAAGCTGCTTTGATTTGAGTGTGCTGTGTAGAATTAGAAATGAAAGAATATAGGTGTTACCCGGACCTGTAGGTTTAAATACACACAGGACTGTGTAACTTAAGTGTTAGATTACCATTTTTTCAGGAAGTAATACTAATAGGTTTGAGCTGTGAGTGGTGAATGAGTTGGGCTGGTATTTTTGTTTCATCCTGCTTTTGCTTTTCAGAATTCATTAATGGCTGTTCTCCCTTATCTGTGGCTGTTTTTTCTCTTGGTGTTTTCTGGCACTGCGATAGTTGATGTGGATGAAGTGGAGGTACTTGGACCTGAAGGAATGCAAGGACCTTTAGGAGTCCTAAGAGAAGGTTACTGAATAACTCTTCTTTCCATAGCTGAAATTTTGGGAGTGGGGGAGGCTTTTAAAAAAGCAAACACACTATTTTCAATGTGACTTTTACTTTCATATCTTGTTTTTATGAGTGGTGGTTTCTGACAAAAGCCAGAAAAGATCTTGCAGATTTAAGCTACAGGTATTTAGGGGGTTAATGCCTTGTCCATGCTATAGGACAGAATAGATCATATTACATAGAAATGGAGAGGAAGAGTGTGTGTTCCCTGAATTCCATCTAAAATTTGCTGTCTTGTTTATAAGAGTTCTCATATGTTAGAAGAAAATGACTTGGAACAAACCTTATTTCTCTTAAAACTGCTAATGATCTTCACATATGTGAAGGCTTGTATCAGCAGATGATCCTGAGTATTATCCAGATCTATTTTCTGTTGTGTAGGTAACAGTATAATAATGGCTTCAGCTGGATGGTGAAGGAAGTATCTGTGTGCTTTGAAGATGGAATTCTT